TCCAACCCATTGAAATTTTTCTACATTAAATTTGAAATTATCTATCTATATAATTATATAGAAAACTAAGCCTGGAATTATAAATTAATCAAACGATAACACCCGATTTACTTAATTACACAGTTGTCGATATTTTTGATTTTTAAATTTAATGTTCTATTCTTCGTGGTTATTCCATATTTTTTTTTTTCAACTTGATGATGATCTATGAAGTAGATCGAAAACGTTCGTTTCTTAAATAAACTCCCTCGGCAACGGATTAGGTGTTGATTATTTTGATTTCTGTTCAACACCTGATTCTTCAGGTCACAACTTGACTGATTAAATATATGTACAGTACATACATAAAGTAATCTGGACTAAAAGTAGATGATTAAGTTGCCATCTTGTATTAAATTAGTTAATTTAGAATATTTTGGAAGAAAAGGTCTATTTGGAGCAGAATTTGAACCCACAACTCCTGCTTATCAAATACAAGTACAGTAGAGCATCGATTATCTGACCCCCGATTAACCGTCACATAGGTTAACCGACCGTTCTAGTCGGCAAATTTCAAATGTCCGCTAGTGACGTGACATTACAAGATTTGGCTATGTCTTGGCTAGTTTAATATTATTTTTGTTAAATTTTTGCGTGCTTTAGCTGGCATCAACAGCTCGACCATTGAAGGGAGGCCAATATTTAAACGAAACTTAATTTTCTAATTATGAGTGGTTGGTTGTTTCGTGAGCAATAAAATAATTTTAAAATAATTTTTAACAATATAATAGCGACAATTATTATTTTAAAAAAAATTTGTTAGGCTAAACATCGATGAAAATTCAACGCAAAGTTGGTTAATAGCGATATACTAATTAACTAATTACATGGGATATACCAATATCCTAATATACTATACACTAATAATGTATTTTTTCCCTTCTTTTCGGTTATCCGACCAACCTGAGTCCCCAATTGAGTTGGATAATCGATGCTCTACTGTAGTTTCATTGCTAATTACCCTAAACAGACTGAGCGTACAATTAATTTAGAAGATATATACCAAGATGGTAACTTGTCATGCCGACAAAGAACGACTATGCACCCACTGTCTTCATGAACTTTAAGCTTTTACCTGAGTATGGTATATACATAGTTTTACAGTAAACTAAGCCCAAAATTATTTGGTATCTTTGATAAAGTATTTTTTATCCTTTGTATCAAGTTAATTTCTACTTAATCTAATATTCAATAAACTTTGTTCTTTCATTAGGATACAGTAGGACAATTATCATAAAAAAATATCTTCATTTACTCATGATATAGCATATATCTATGTTGCTTTATATGTTGTTTCAAACCCAAACAATATAACAAATCAATTGCTCCAATTGCTTTCTCTTTTTTGTTAAAAAGGAGGAATTAAAATTAAAGTATAAAATCTTTCTCCGTAAGATATAAATTTTGTATATATTTCAAATATTTTTCGAGTTAATACTTAATTTCTGTTTGAAAAAACAAATTTTACCTGCTATTTATTATAGATTAACTGTTTAAATGTTTTATTAAACAGCTTTGAATAAAAATATAAATATACAATTACTTATTTAATGTGATGATTTAAAAAAAAATCTGAAAACTATAAAAACTATCTTTGCACATGCTAAAATGGTTCAAGGAGTCAAGTTTAATTCGGAATAAAACATTTTTTGAAATAGCTAAGTATCATCAAAAGCAGCCAACTTCTGAAAACGATTGTTTTAAAACCAGGAAATGTATTTGCTGAAATGGTCCGAAAGTGCCATTTTTATTTGAATTCTGTTATTTTTGGAACTAATCGAATCCAACGATCCAGTGCTATTTCAAAGTTTGTTTTATCCCGTACAAACTCAACTCCTCGAACTGTTTTTAGCACACACAAAGACTTGTTTATCTGCGGCAGTGATTTTCAACTAAGGTGCCGCAATGACACTTTGGGGGTATCACAAAATATAGTGTCAAGTATATCCATAACATTTCTGCATTAATCAAAGTATAAAAAACAATAACTCCACATTGATAAAGTAGTAATAGAGGTACTGCACAAAAAAACTTATAAAGATGTGGGTGCCACTATTAGAAAAAAAAGGTTGAAAAACACTAATCTATTTTGTTGTTAACATTAGAGCATATAAAAACTAATGATAATGTTGCACAAATTTAAAGAAATGTATAATAAAGTATTCATGAATGCTGAGCTTATTAATTACTAATGACGTAATAATGAGCCATAATTAAAAATTTAATGATTCACAAAATAAATATGACTTAATTTACAAGTAGATATTTTAACGATCAATCAGTGTTAGAAGTAGTGCTAGTAAATACATTAGTCAACAAATTATATCCTAGAAAAATATAACAATTTTAATTTAATAAACATGGAAATTTTAATTGTTTAATGGAATTTTTGGTTTAGATTCTATTCAAAACAGCAGGACTGAATCATCCTAAAGGTCATCAGAACAAATTTAAATTAAGACCAATTAATTAAGCATTATCTAATTAAGCCCTAAGGTACGTTTCCTTGATTTCTATGTCATCCTGAGAAATGAATTTGCTAGTTTATTTATAAATAAAATTACGATGACTGATTTTTTTACGTATGGTAGATTACAATAGCTTCTCATTGAATTATTAGGGGGTGAGTGGCACAGAGGTTATGACAGTAACATTATTGCAGTGGGAAAAGAATTGCAGATAGCCTACATGTATTATAACAACTTTTTGAATCACTTTAAAACACATACAAAAGACCAAGAGAACAGTGCTAAGCAACTCTCCACCTGGTTTCTAGTTCGAAAAGAGATCACCTAGGTACATTTACCCTAGTTTTGGCATGTTTAAGCATTGCCAAGTATTGCCATCCAGCAGTAAATAAGTACACAATAGAAAAGAAAAGAGCTATTCAAAAGCAAAACAAAATGGCTGCCAACCATATGGAGTACGTAAGGCATCTGTGAGAAAAAATTCATATAGGTAGATGTCACAAAACACGACTATAGAATTACACTTATAAATCAAACTTAGTTTTACAAAACTTAAAATTTTCAACACCCACAAGTCTAATACAAGGGGGAAAGAAACTATTTTCAGTTAGAACACTTCTGTTTCTGTAGACCCTTACACCCATGACCTATAGTTTTGGGACCTTTATACTTTTCATATAACTTCCATTTCTGCAGAGCCCTCTGGCTTTGCAGAAATGGAAGGTATAAGAAAGGTGTAAGGGAGATACAGAAGATAGGAGAAATCCCCATTCTCCCCTTCAGATTACAGTCAACATTTACTAAACTTAATTGAAGATTTATTAAACTACACTCATAGCTGCACCTACTCATATTATCCTTTATTACTACATAAACTCGAGGAGTTTATCCATTATTTCTTACTTTTTAATTTAATTCCTTAATATAAAAAGTCAAAATATCATATACAAAAATTACCATAATGAATAAATTATCATTAGCAAATAATTCAATTATTTATGCTAGAATTTTTATATTTTCTAAATATAATAAATATTAACCTATAATTAAGAGAGTCACGATTAATTATTTTATATCGCAAACATATCACTTCTACTATTTTAAATTTTGCATTCTAAATTTACCTTGTTAAAATCGAGATATATTTAGAAAGATATATTGCCACTTATCCAAATTTGATTCTCTTAGAAACATCCATTATAGATGAATATTCATTATCTATATTTCTTTAATACTTAATTTTCATTTTATTTTTCCTATTAATAACTAATTTTCTAGATAATAAACGACAGAGCATCGTATTTACGATGTACTCGAATTTTCTAAGAACCATTTAAAAATTCAAATTTTCCAAATAAATATTTATTTTTTTGCATATTCTGATCAATTATACTTTTTAAATAGTGCCAACTTTGCATTTCTCTACAAAATAAGAGAATTTTTAACGTTAAGACTGAGTAGGAACAGGTGCATGGCCCGTCCTCGATCCATAACATAACAAAGGAATTTAACTAAATTTTAGACATTCACTTCCACTTTTCGCTTTAAAGTTAATCTATAATTTATACTTCAAATAAAATTTTTATATCATCATTCAGCAACAGTATTTTTTTAAATAATTTGTCAAAAAAATAAACTATATTCTTACATCTTAAACAATTTAAAGTTTATATATTTTGCAAGAGGAAATAACCTCGAGATCACTCTATTATTATTTTATAGAAGAACAATATCCACTTAGGCAAACAAGAATATTTTAGATTAAACGCCGATCTCGCAGGGGCTACCGTTTACCAGATTTCATTTTGCACTCGTCTGCAGAATAAAAATTCCAGATGTCAATGGCAATTCCACTAAAACTCAACAGAGGAGAGTCAGCCTGGCATACTTCGAGACCCACCATTTTTGAGCAAACACTCCAGAGGCATCGCAATCGTGCACCAAGTTTCTCGCCCAAACTATTAAATATCCAAAACGTGGGATAAGACGAGAAGAAAAACCGAAACCGATCGGGCCTGTCGACGCGAATTACACGTATGTACGGCAGCAAACGAGAGCACTTCCTCCGGACGGGAAGGGAAAAGATCATTCCAATTTCGTCCGCCCCGGCCCTTCCACGGGCACGAGAATTAATTAATTTCGGATGTAAATAAGCAATTATTTTTAATTCGAGTATTTTATGTTCTCTTAAAGGATTAATAATAATAAAAAAAAGAATGTAGATCAACCGGTGTAGCTTTTTGTCTTCCGTGATGTATTTTTTTTTTTTTTGCGTACAGGAGTGGGAGGGAAAACTAGTCACACAGCAATTATTGTATTAATCAAGCCGTTATCAGAGACTGTGAAGGTTCCACAAGCGATCAAAGATTTGCACAATCTAATCTAAGGGAGGGAAATAAGAGTGGAGAGTGGATTTCCTGCAAGAAAGGCGCCCAATCAATAGGAAAGGAGCTTCTTAAATTACACATTTATCCCGTAAATCGCCGTACTCACTGTAATCAATGAAATTCGTAACAGTCTTTTCCCTTCTGAGGGACGAGTTGCAGCATTCGTCGTACAGGACCACCACAATGTCCAGAAGTGTCTCCAGGCCGAAACTTTTGCCGTTGAAGACGACGGGACCTCCTAAAATCATCTGCTCCAACTCCCTAATACGATCTTCGGGGGGTTTCCCGGACATCTTTTTCATTTAATTAATATTCATCTCGGACGACACAAGCGCAAAGACGTTGGATTCTCATCCAATCGTCGCTACCTTCGCGTATTAAATAAGTTCACAGCGTCCAAAACGGTAAACTCCGCATCGAATACTTTACATTATGGAGTAACTTCGACTTCGACGACTTACAAACTTTAAGATAAGCACCGACATGACAAACAACGACGGAGATGACCACCGCTACACTGCCCCCTGCCGGCGTGATTTTTTACTCGTTAGGTCATTTCCCGTCCCGAAAAAAAAAAAAAAATATCGAAAATTTCCCCGCATTTTTTCCTCTCCGTCACCCTTAAACCCTCCCCGAAATATCGTTTTAATTCCTATTTTCGCCTCCTTCGAACTTCTAATTCGTAAATTAGCTGGATTTTGATTTTTTTATTTTATTTATTTTTTTTTTTATTGGATGTTTCCTTTCGCACGGAAATGGTCGGAAATTACGGCAATGGATAATTTATTTAGTCGTTCTCGGTCCTCGCCTGCTTCTTCGCTTTGTCGTTTCTGTTAACTCACCACTTACGCTGATCGTTCCCGTCCAAATCTATCCTTTATAAACACCATTTTCGACGTTATGTAAGCCCCCGCTACTACCGTCGGCGGTATTTTTTCCGAGAAACGAAGCGGAATTTTACGCGTATTCCTTAATTAATTTAATTAAATCGCTTCGAAATAACGACCCGCTGCTTAAACTTTACTACAAAACCTGATTTCGTTTATACGACGGGTCCGAAACACCCCTTTGAGTACGATAGCGAAGCGTTTAATTGAACACTAAATACAGTATATTTTATAGTAAAACAGTTACCTTGTGGCACTTTGCAGGCCTCTAAAATATTTCACTTAATTTTTATAAATAGAAAACGTGCGTTTACTTCCGCCCGGCCCCTTAAACTCGGGGCCCTTTGGCTTAAGGAATAGATTTAAAGAATTGATCGGTTCCTCTTCTTTCTTCTCGATGAAGGTATAGTATCTGTATACCTGATACATCTGTATACGACGTATCTGTATTTCCGTCGGTACAAATTGATACATTCGAGAGATAAAGATAGAATATCGAGTTGACGAAATGCACACCGTCAATTGAAATTATATTGAATAACACGTGAAGTCTTTGAACGTGATAAACGACACTCGATATTGTTCTACTCGTCAGCTGTTTTACCGTCATTTAAGTACTCAATTGATTAAATTTCATTTTTTTCAGGGTCAGGTTCTCCATTAACCGTGCTTTAGAATACACACCTGCTCCTGTGTTGTCGTATTTATTCCACCCCCTCAAATCGTGAAAATTCCAATATATTACACTCGACGAGCTCCTTACATTTCTAGTCACTCGTTTTGTTTTCCTACTTATCTACTGGTCAGTTTCCGGTTCCTGTCCTTAATGGAGGGGTAATTAACATTGTTCGTGTTATCTTAACAAGTGAAAACTCCATTAGTCCCGTTTAATCGCCTACATCACACCTGTGGGTGGCTCGTCTCGACGAAGATCAATTACTGTTTGACTTTTATGAATGCAGTTTGCTATACACGTCACTGTTCCAGTGTTGTACAGGCTCGGGTTTTTTGCCCTGGTGTAATATTTTTTTTTGGTATTCTACGATGGAGCAAAAGGATTATTAGGACAAGCGTCAACGAGAGTTAAAGACAATCAATACAAATATCGAAAAATTTTTAAAATCATTTTTATTCTTGAAAGGAAAGGGCCTCTTATTTCCACTGTAGATAGGGCACAATGGAGGGACCGAATGATAAGAAACGAGGAGACTTATTTGGATCGAGCCAACTACAAAGTTTCCTGAACCGTTAGACTGGTCATCACCTGACTTTCAAATAGATATTACCACGATGACGCAAGAACCAACCAGAAATAATTTTTTGTTTGTTTGTTTAGTTATGGCAACGCAACACTTGGGGATCTGTCTAGGGAAGATGCCTTTTTAAGGGAAACTGGCCCGTATTTAGGCATTACAGACGTGGAGAAAACCCGGAAAAATCACGTGGCCATCCCATCCGAGCGAGCCGCGAAGCCACGACCGAACGCCCGGTGTTCAGGGAACGAAGACTGCTTGGCCACTGGTGGGCCTTGATCATTTTTTAAATAATCAGATTCGACGGAACGGCCGAAGTGGTTAAATCTTCAGCCTCTTCCGCTCTGGTGGACCCAGAATCGAATCCGAGTTGAGCAACCAGAAATTCTTCGTGGGAGATTTGTCCGAATATGTCAGGATCCCATTATGGACCGGTTCGGCCGGGTCCACAATGGGATCCTTTTACGTCTTTTCCTGATTACTTTTAGTAATTTGACCCACCAATATGGCGCTTGCATTGTCCTAGAATGTAGAACCTAGATTCTTGATGAATAGTCACTTCAGAATTTTCTTAAATCCTAATCATTCATAAATAATTTCGAATAATATTCAATGAAAGAATATTTAATAATAAATTGACCAATTAGAATATTTCTTTTCTTGTTCTGCACCCTACTCCGCTCTATTTTGGATTACGCGACAAACGTTGTTATTGTTCTTTGAATTTATTTTCTATTTTAAGTTAGTTGTTCGGAGCGAATTTTTATCGACCGTAATTTAAATTGATTGTAGTTAATTTTGAATTAATGATAACCCGTTTTATTTGGAACGAGCTATGTCATTGGCTCACTTATTCAGAAGTATTAAGGCCTCTTTATCCGACAATAGAGAGGTTGAGGCGCACGTTTTAAACGTGTAAACGTGTACGTGTGACGTTCGGCGCCGCTTTCCCGTAAGCCTAAAAGTTTCAAAATGGTGTTTGGATAGTCGGTGGAATCACGCTCGACATTCCAAACACCATCGTCAAACTTTTAGGCTTACGGGAAAGCGGCGCCGAACGTCACACGTACACGTTTACACGTTTAAAACGTGTGCCTCAACCTCTCTAATGCACTAGTGGGGAGGAGACCAAATTTTTCATTTCGGGAAGTATTTTAAATCAAAGCAAACAATGCGAGAGAAATATCGAAGATTATTGTCAAGTTTAAATATTCTTCTAATTATCTTCTATCGTATAATTCTTTTGCAACAGCATCCCACGTTTCATCTAGAGGGGTTGTGGCCGACGTTTTCAACGCCAAAACGTGTACGTCAGACGTTCAGCGCCGCCTNATCGTTATTTTTTAGCACAACTAATCTGAAGAAACGGCCCACAACGGGCATGGTTAGTTCTGTAGTCGACAAATCATCCTGATAATTAGTTGTTGCCTGCATGGAACAGTTTGCAATTTCGTTTTACTCCTCCTCTTTTATCGCGCCACATCTCGAATTATTTGCAACAGCATCCCACGTTTCATCTAGAGGGGTTGTGGCCGACGTTTTCAACGCCAAAACGTGTACGTCAGACGTTCAGCGCCGCCTACCTGTAAGCCTAGACGTTTGACAATGACGTTTGGAACGTTAGTGGAATCATGCTCGACGTCGCGCTGAACGTCCGACGTACACGTTTTCGCGTTGAAAACAGTAAATTTTAACAGTTTAAACACATAATTTTCTAATGTATGTTCTATATATTATTTTATTTTTTTGACTCCCCGTTTAGTGAACATTAAGAGGGCCCGTTTTTCCATACCTATAGTGGGTGGCCCAAGACCGATGGGGCCCGACTGCTCACAAAAAACTGGGCCTATTCGTGGGTGGATTTCTCCAATTTAATTAAATAAATTTCTTAAATAAACAGCACTCGAAGTCTCTTCAACTACACCGCAACACGACACAAGGGCAATGACACATTATCCTATGGAAAAAGGAAATTATCTGGGGCCCCAAGCCAATCTTTTATAAACTCATTACTGTAGTAAGAGTTTATAAAAGATTATAAAAGAAGAAAAGTTTATAAAAGAGTTTATAATATTTAAATTTGGTATCATATCCGAGGACCCTAGATTACCGGTGCGGCGCAGAACTTTACTAGCACGAAGAAAACCGGATAACTCCAGCTGATCAGGCGCGAACCCACGACTACTACCAGTGTTCAATGGTTTTATCCATTAGGCCAATGGTGGGTGCCCGAATGGAAGAGCGTATTCAACTAATATGGATAATTTCTTCTATTCTCTTACTACTCTATTACATATTATTTTTAACACAGCATAAATTTATTACGTATTAATAAAGGGGTCAAACACATTTAAATAACCACAAACACTAAATTTTCAACAAATTTTTAATTTTACAACGAAACAAGCGGCGATTTATCTTAATAGGATTCGTATGACGTAGAAAATCAAGTGGAGCAACACAGGTCCCATTTGACTCGGGCGTGTCCTTCGTAATTCAAGGAATCTACAGTAGCTGCAAAAGAAAGAGGATAAACATACGATTTACTCTTTAAATCCTCACTGTGGAACTTACCTTTCCATTTTCCAGCGGAGACGGTTCCTAGTTCCTTTTGCGTCACAGAAGGGATGTTGACTCTGGATTTAAAACTGTTTCGGCCCCGAATATTGCCCATGTCGGTTTTCTTGACAAAAGTCCAATGCAGACTGTCGTTGGTGGCCATGTAAGCCCAGTTTCTGTCGTCCACTGCGTAAACTAGTCTCGTTTCGGAATCGTAACCCAAAAGGCTTCCTATGTTCCAGGGAAGTACTGAAGAAATATTTGATATACGTTATTTCGAGTCACTTAAGTTTGCAAACTGTAATTTGTTGGACTTACTGTTCCAGCTGATTCCGTCGTCGGAAGAATAGCACATTTTCTTACTGAAAAATGAAAATCTATTAGTTGATCTTTCCAAATACAGGTGTAGAATATATGACGTAATAACCACTCATTCTATAAGGTTTTCTGTATGAAAGATTATAAGAGAACTAGGGACATCCGCTCTAAACTCTTCACGAAATCAAGAAGGCTCATTGATTTGCAGGATTAAGTTCTCTAACTTGTCCTCCCTCTGGTTACGAACCTTGTAGCAATAATTTAGAATCACTTTCGTGAAGAGTTTGGAGAGGTTCTTCCTTGCAAGTGCCCACCAGTGGCCTTCGTACTCTGAACACTGGGAGTTCGGTCGTGGGTTCGCGCCTCTTTCGGACGGGCTGGCCACGTGAAGTTTTCCGGGTTTTCTCCACGTCTGTAACGCCTAAATAGGGGCCAGTTTCCCTTAAAAAGACCTCCCGGAAGGCATCGCCCAAGTGTTGCGTTGCCATAACTTAACAGCTTCCTTGTATTGGCTACAGAATCCATGATGGATCGCTTATGATATCCGCAAGTATTCTTATTAAATAGATTATTGAAGAAAGAGATTACTACGTCATTCGATTTTCACGCGTATTTTGAAAGACTTCACTTGGTATTGATCTGCAAGATGACGGTCGGTCTTATCTCGCAAAGCAATGAGAACGTCTTGAGAACTTGGGTTGTTTTACGAATGAATGGGCACCTCGCAACACAAGACCGAAGTGAAATTACTAACAAAATTTTCAGTAAATACACTTACTTGGGATCGTCTCTAGCATCGCAGAAATATATTCTTTCCAATTCTGTATCCAAGACCATGTGTCGTCCGACTTTCTCTGTTGCAGAAAGAAGAAACGGTATAACGGAAACTTACGGTTGAAGCCATAAAACGAAAATTAACTTACTTAGATCATCGGTATACCAAGTATCATCCGAACCGCACCTAACTAGAAACCAGTAAAATTTAATAAATTAAGATTTACTGAAACTTCCTCGTGAAGTACTCACCAAAAATATCTTTATCCACAACGCATCCGTATAATTCCATTCTGACACCGACGTTCTTGCTCAGATCAGTCGGATCGTTATTTTTTAGCACAACTAATCTGAAGAAACGGCCCACAACGGGCATGGTTAGTTCTGTAGTCGACAAATCATCCTGATAATTAGTTGTTGCCTGCATGGAACAGTTTGCAATTTCGTTTTACTCCTCCTCTTTTATCGCGCCACATCTCGAATTAAATGCAAAGATACCTGAATGGCCAGAATCCAATCGATGCCGGATTTACTATACAAGAATTTAAATTCCGTAACGTGGCGTAACCCATCGATTCTCTGAAGAACTACCGAACCTACTCGAACGTTACGCAAGAAGTCCACCTGAAGATAATGCTGACATGGTCCAGTTCGCACGGGTGGAGACCAGGCTAAAAGGGCAAACATTATTTTAAGTGTTACTGTGGCAACAATATTCTATGGGCGCACAAATTATTTTATAACCTTTTCCCGTATCCTTTCCTCCTGTAACTACTCGAGCGTAATACGGTGCCCATTCTTTGCTGGCTGCCGAAGAAGCGGTAAATTGACAGTTTTCTATGATTGCTGGATCGTCCAATCCCAGTTTGTCATTGCAAGCTGACAAAGAATTTAAAGGAATTAGAATTTAAGGAGGAAGGGAGGGCAAAGTTGTGGTGTTAAACTCACCCGCGCTGTTAATCTTGTAAAGGAGATGGCTCATCTGAGAACAATCGAAAAGACCATCTTTGGGTGGATTTTGCACAGGTTGAGACCGAAGAGTCTGACGACACAAAATTCTGTAGGGGGTTGTGGCGGTTATGACACCTTTACCATGCTTCCTTTGCTTATGAGGATCGGCTAACACCGTGAAATTAACTTCAACTTCGTCTGGAAAGGTCAGAAGGGGGAACTACGCGAAGTAAAATAATTAAAACCAGCAAAAAAATACGTAAAATTTATTTTCTAGAAAACACTTACCACGATATCCAGTCCTCCCGATTCGTTTTTTATAGTTAGTTTAATAGGGTTCCAACTGGTTTCCGTATTGAAAACGACGTAAGGAGGGATATACAGACGCAACGTGATATCATAAGGCTCGGCTAGAGATACATTGCTGTGTTTCAAATATGCGTACATCTGTATGACGTCACTGAAAGAGAAATCCTTTAAGTCACGTTCCTAAATCTAGTTTAAAATGGAATCCTACGTACCCACTCTGGAATGTTTTACTGTCATCTACAATGACTTCAGCGGTCAGATCCGCTTTCTCCTCACCAGTGCGCTCGATTACGAAAGGTTGCTGCGCTTTACCTTCCACCCCATTGATGATTGCAATACAATCTACCATATGGACTGATCCGTGCTCGCTTTCGGGATGATCGGCCAACTCGACCAAAACCTCAATTTTAAGTTTATCGTCGTCCTCCTCTCCTTCGGCATTATTCACGTGCGTAACTCCTGTTAATTTTGGGATTAGTTTCGGATAATCTCACGTCATCGCGACATTAACTACTTCGTACCTAAATTTCCAAAATATCCCAAATCTGCTTCTATTGTGTCGTTTTGGGCAGTGGGCACATTCGATAAGAGTCGGTACTCCACTTCCCCCGAAGCTAATGGGCAAGGAAGGTTTTTACCACCGGACACTAGTCGCAATTGATGAAGTGTGAAGACTGCTCGACGTTCCTTGATGGGTGCCTTGACTCTGACGGACACTTTCATAATAGAATGGGGAGGAATGGTAATTTCGTAGGTTACCCAAACGCGCTGACGGACTTTAATGGGAATGTTTTCGCCATCACTGGGTTTCACTACCACTTCGTCCTGAAAGATTTTCGATGGTGCACGCGACCAATTAGCTGGACTTGTATAATACAAGTTGGCCATAATTAAACATTTCCTATTCAGAGCACTGTACAGCTGTTTATTTTTTCCTCGTATGTTTCCTCTAACATTCCTTGTTTTAGATGCCAAGTTAGACCCGAGTGCAACCAGCATCACCTTTCGAAGCACTGATCCGACGTCATATTGTAAAGGGCTTTTTATTTCATAACCTGTGCCTCCTTCTTTTCTACAGCTGACCACAACTGCTCTCCAGTGATGATTAGAACTTATTGTGTAATATGATCCTTTGAGACTGCCAAAGTTGCAACATTTCTATTATGAACCATATTCCAATATATGCCAAAGCACCCCTTATACTTTGCTTAGTCTGTATACAAATTTTGGTGTTGATCCTATTATTGCTTACAGGTGCAGAGTGCTCCGAAAAAGAAAACTTAAATTGTGGCCACATTGTGCTTAAATATAATAAAAATGCATGAAAATTCGGAACTTACGGGTGGATTTACATCTTCTATACTCTTTACAGCTTTGCTACTCAGTTGTGGCAAATTTGTGATGGTTCTATTGCCGAGGACAATCTGAATGGCCACACGAATGTCATCGCCCACATTTACTTCTTGTTTTAAGTAGAGGGCAACTTTAAGTTGTATCTACGTAAAGGGAACGGGATCCCGATCACTTTTACCACTTTCTGAATATTTCAAGAGTAAAATATCACTTACCAAATTTGCAGAGAAGTTTTCTCTATCGATGTAGGAATTACACACCGTTCCTAGACGAATGTCTGCAGAATCCTTATAATTGCTTTCCGAGCTACTGGAAGAATGGATATTGTAAGAAACACAAAGATCACGTGTCAATGTTGCAAATTACTTACGCGGGAATTTGAGTGACAACGGTAGAAGGTGCCAAACACGGATAATTCACACCTATAGTCGTGATACCGGCCAAACATACGTCGTAGGGATGCTTCGAACTATCCGGATTCATAATTTTGACAGTGATGGGTGCCAAGAAGAATTCGTTTAATTCTAGATCCAGTGTTACAAACTGTGGTGCCCCAATAGCTGCTTCGATACTAGGAGTGAGAGTTAGATTGGCAGCTCTTGGATCATCTCCATACTGAAAAATTGGAATTGAAGCATTACTCTTGTTATTCTTTACAATTCCCGTTTCTTAGCTTACCATTTGCGGGACGGAATCAGTTTTCAGAGGAATGGTAATTTCTCCATTCGCTTCTCCACTCCCATAATCCACTTTCCAATTCAATTCCTGATCATTTTTGGCTTGTTTCGATAATTTGACCATGGCTTGCAGCTGTAAAGCATTTTCCTCCGACGTCTGATTCGACTCGGATGTTCCTGAAATTAGAAACAAATATGGCAACAAATCAAAGATGGCGTCGTCGCCATCTTTGACTTACCTATATTGGAAAGTGCAGAAAACTGTATTTTCGCTTCTTTTATTCCTTTATCTTTATTGGTGTGAGGGATATATATAGAGGGAGTTTCGAATTCGACACAAGGCATATTCTTTCCTGCAGCCTTGACGCGAAGAATACACACGCTACTATCTTCTTCTTCTGCTCTCAGAATAATTTTATACTGGCCAATGGAATCTGGAGCTGTATTGATGGTTATCACTACTTCGACCGGATAACCGGGAGCTACGCCTTCTGATGTTACGTCTACGTTGACGAAAGGCTTCTTCTCCTGAAGAACAAAGAAACATATTGAAGAACTCCCCAATTTTTGGCATACTTGTTTGTTAGCGGATATACAAGTTGTCCCATAAGTCATGCACAATGGGATAATTGTAATGTAATGAGGTTTTCCGTTTTAGGTAGGTGTTAATGCACGAGATCATCCTAATGGTTGTCATGTGGCACAGTAGAAGAGTTCAACCGCAAAGGGAGCAGAACGAACACCAATTTCGCATGGACCACTGTTTCGCAACTGGTCGCAACGATGTCATGCCGTGACACTTGTTTGTGGAATAATTGGATCGCCTGTCTGAATATCTGTGTGGTTTGGTTTGATGGAATACGGCAATGCAACATGTGTTTGTTCTGCCAAGAAGGGATGCCACCCAAGAGGACTTTTTGCGAGAAACTGAAGTTAGATACATAAGAATATCCGGAAAACTCCACGTTACTCGCATCGAACATGTGCGTGACTTATGGGACACCCAGTAGAGTTAAAAAGTTTGAATTTAACACACAAAAAGTGAGTATTACTTCCGGAATAGTTGAAGTTTGAATAGTTGAAGTATATTTAACTTCAGAGGCCCACATAGATCTGGTACCGATAGTTAAACCAACAGTCAGTTCGTAGTCTGTCTCGTCATCGAATTCGGAACAAGTGGGTAAAGAAGCTACCACTTTAATGACGAAAGCGTTTCTATCCCCTTGTTTATCTCTGTTGACAGCTCCGACATCTCCCACTTTCATGGCTGCTCTGTTGCTCTTCAGGCATGTCGATTCGGAATTTCTAAATACAAGAATTACTATAAGAAATGTTGGTGTTTCGGGTTTTTCAAGTAAGGTAACCAGACTTACACTAAACTGTAGGTGATATTGCGATTGACGTCATCCCTATGCATTCCCAGGCAAGGTAAATGGGAGCCAACGTCGGTAAGTTCGATCATACATATCTGAAGAATAGAATCTTCGTCTCCTGCCGCTTCGAAGAACAAATCTCCATAGCCGATTGAGGGGGTGATGGTGACCACTACGTCAAAAGCGATGGCTCCTCCTTCGTGTAACAGTTCCCAAGACACTGCATTTTTTATCTCGACAGAAGGAACTGGTTGACTTTTCTAAAATTAAGATAAAAATAATTACAGCCAAATAAACTTACGAATTGACCTTTAAAATTCAAATGAAATTTAGTCGAACCTCCGAATAAAGGCCACCGACGGTCGTTATCGGAGATTTGACTATCACAGTGTTGAAAAGGATTAGTTTTAAGTACTACGATTACTTAATGGCAACAGCAACTAATCTGCTGTGCCGTTCACACTGTACATTAGTTACTGTACCGTGTGAACGGCACAGTATATTAGTCGCTGCTTCAACTTATGACCACGATCGAAAGAAAACTCGCTTTAAGTTGAATCACGATTCCATTTGTATGGGTCGGGCAGCGGGCATACAAATGAAATTGGGCATGGAATCATTTCTAAACTACAATATTTAATAAGTTAATTTTAGAATAGATAAGAGTTTACGCACCGTTTCTATGATCTCGACTTGCCCTACAGGAACATCAATAAAGTCTTTAGAAGACTCCACCGAAACTGTCATCTGTAGTTTGCTTCCGGACACGGAGTGATCGTGAGTCGAAATCTTCACTATCAACTCGGACATGATCAGAGAATCGTTGGATTTGGCGGGAGAATGCTAAGAAAAAATTGTATTCGGTTACTACAGAGGATCGACTGAAAAATTAACTGTTACTCACCTGATCTGTGACGTGTAGCCTGTTCAATTTAATAAGAAACGTCTGATCTCCGTCGTACTCCGGTTCTATGTCCACATCGCAAGGAACGTAAGGAACGTTAAAGCTGTCTACCGCTTTCAGCAATCTGGCACCGCAAGGTTCCATCTGTATTTTGCCGCCTTCTTTCGGAACCACTACTTTAATCACGTAATTAAAATAACCTCCCACGCCGTCTAGCGTAGTGAGAAGAATATAGGACATCAAACTGCCCACAGCTGCCGTTTGATCTTCTTTGGGATAAATTTTGGTGTCCACCGCGTGCAGTTTAGGCTGCGATGAAGAAACTGCCACGTTTATTTTTCGTGCCGACTCGAAAACACTCTGAAGTAGCATAACTGTAACTTACCCGAGGCTCATCTTCTCTTTCTTTAATGGTAACAGAGATAATTGAAGACCAAACTTTCTCCTCCCCTATCAAAATACCTGCCGAGATGTCGACCTTTTTACCAATATTAGAGGGTATGTTAGGGGCGTAAACGGCGAACGTAAAACGGATCTTGTTACCATCGTCTTTTATTTGTTTATCCAATGGACCTGAAAGTGTATCTCACTTCTAGTCAATCTGCAATTTGAAATACAGGGTAGCCATAATTAAAGTTTTCCCATTCAGAGCACTGTGTAGCTGTAACCAATAAGCGGATTTTCCTTTGCATAATCTGTATACAAATTATGGTGTCAATCTACTTATTGGTTACAGCTACACAGTGCTCTGAATGGAAAAACTTTAATTATGGCTACCCTATACCCCAACTTCGAGCGCCGTTACTCACCTATATTAGTAACTAACCCCAATTCCAGTTTGGCTTTGGTGTTGAGACACGTCTTCTCGGAACCCGTGTAACTAGCATTATAGTAGTATATATCTTGTGGAACACAGACGTAGTACTCCCCAAATTCTACCATAGACGTAACGATTCGATGAGTTTCGGGAAACAGAACTATTTTTTCGAAAATTTGCTCCGTACTTACGCATTACTCCCAAGTGACCAACCGTTAAAATGGTTTCCGTGTCGTTTAATTGAACCTCTACTGTGACGTTGGAGGAACGAATGCTGATCCAGGAATCTAGATAATACACCCCAGCCGAATCCAAGGCAATTTCAGTAGGACCAGTTACTTCTGTTACTATTTCGGGAACGTCTGCAGACTAACAAAAGTGATGTTACTGAAAGGAACACAGATCGGTAAGTAAGGGAGCACCTACTTTTTCCACTTCATTTGGAATGACTTCCGCCTGCCCCACCCAAACGTAGTTTTCTTGGTCATATTCCGCCCCTGCAGTGACGAAATGTTTCTGATTGTAAGTAGTGTCGAGATTTCTTATTTGAGCGATGCAAAACGTCACTTCCAATTGGCTTTCGTCTGCAGTGTTACTGATGTATCCAAAATCGATCACGGCACGATCGTACTACGCGATTACACATAATTTCTACATAAAAATCGTATCTAAAAGTGCATAGAACACCAAAGAGAAACACTTACTACTGTGTTAATGTGGTCGCTGAGAATCATCCTGATGTGGGGTTTCTCTTGGGAGTACGAAATGGCATCACCAGACGGTTTGATTTGTACTTTGCACAAGGCAAAAGTGGGGAGGTAACTGTTATTGTTGATCTGTTTGGTAAATATCTCAACAATGACGTCCAGTTTTTCGGTTTTGGGCACTTTTATAGCCAAGCTGTAACAAACGGTTTTCCCTATTTCCATTTTCTCTTCCTCGCCTTCTATTTTGCTTAATTCGAAGGACGTCATCTGGTTGTTGACCGAATCCTACAGAAAAGGATTAATTTTTGAAGGATTTTACAATAAGTTAAGCGCTTTTAAATGCTTACTTCTCTCTTTTGCCTGATTAGGGGGACGTTAGACGCGTTCTTCATCACGTTCTTAGTGATTTGTTCTTGATCCGTCCAAATGTCGTTGCTCAAATAAAACGTCACCTGCACGAGAAGTAAAGTAATAAATCTGTGCCATAACATTATAGATACAAAAGTCACGTTGCGTACCTGAATGACTCCACTGGCCGTATCCCATTCGTGATTCAATCCTTTGGCTTCGACGAGAATGGTGTAAATTCCTACAGAAAGAAGGCCCACGGGCTCTTTGATGTATACTTCACCCGTTACGTTGTTGATAGAGAAGAATTCCTTCTCGTCCACCAAGTAGTAAAAGATAAGGGAACAATCGCATCGGACCTCATTTCGAGCGCAGGTACTGTCGTAATCGTTATCGAAAGCTTGAGCGTGGTAAACGGGGGTGGCAACCCAAGGATCTTCTATGTAGACCTCGTCTTCGGTCGAATAAAATGAGGGCATGTACTTATCCACTGTTAAAATTTAACCAGAAATGTCATATGCCAGCCAAATAACAATAGCTACAAGTTATGTTTCGTTTTCGGGTGCTTAATGGCATCGATAACCGTGAATTCAAACTGTTCAAACCGGGCTCTACCCTTTGCAAGTTTGCTCAAACTTCGCAATAAGATAGCTTAGAAACTCAAACTAAAATCTGCAAAATATTAAGGTTGAATGTTTTCTGGTTCCTGAATTTGGAGATTGCTCCGTTCTTCTCCATGCACAAATGCTCAAATTGTCCTCCTAAGTGTGCATCGTCGAAGCAAGATTGCGCTTTCAAATTTGGCGACCTCGGACAGTTTTTTGCTGTAAATTTGGCTGTGTTAGCCACATTTATCGAAATAACATAACCTTTCCATAAATTGAGGTGAAAGTCGATAGTGTACAACTGGAACCGTATTTCGATATTCTAACCATTTTTACTGTGGAGTTTGAACAAAACTGGAGGGGGTCGAGCATAGGGGTTTGCACAATTGACGCAGAATGACCCACAAATAATTATAACATGTTATGCTTTTGAATGTGTAACACCGTCGTAATTTTTCATAAACCCTTTTTGGTGTCATACCGAGTAGATGACGATAACTTTCCAATAGGAAAGGATATATATGTGTATGCATTTATGTGTGTGTGTGCAGGCGCGTGTATATAATCGAACCTCCAATAACGACCATCTCTAAACCGCGGCCATTTTTGAAATGCATACAAAACAGCCTCCAAACGACGGCCATTTTTACGTGTCTGTTGTTCTGAGGTTTGTCTGTATTGGAATTGCATAATGATAAAAAAATAAATCAGTAGAACGTACTAAAATTGCGTAATTATAACGTGACGCATACGAGCCACAAAGTAAAGACGCGGCTCTCCAATATCTTGATCTGTATTGATCATGACAAAATTGATCATTGTCAAAATCGTATTGATCACGACAAAATCAAAATCTTTGGCGCAAGAGATTGGTGCTGCAGGAGTTGGGAGTTCCAGTGAATTAGCCACGAAGCGAGGAAAATACCCGTACGAACCTGCTTCTATTTTAAACACAAAAAATCAATACGAAATCTAATTTCCTATATAGTTTGAATTACACAAAATAAAAAAAAAATAGAACAGTTTATCACATACGCCCACAAGATTGGGTGTACACGGAATGGTGCATTTTAATCAATCCACCGGAAGAACTCGAAAATATACGCATCCTGCAAGAGATCGTGATAAAAAATGTTAGACTTCAAGGGCGCTAGTGCAGTTAATGGTTAGGTGTGAATCTTCGGTGGTATAGTGAAATGGACGCTCGACATCGCAGCAGTGTAACATATAATGCTGCATCAACGGGTTCTTATGTTTTCTGTGTAAACGGGCAAAACTTTCTGGAGTTTATGAGACGAAGTATCATACAAAGCAAAAAATGTGGATTCGGTTAATGGCCTGGAACCCCACCACGCACGAATTGTGGTAAATTATTTAAATGGGCCCTTTAATTGAAGGTGGATCGGATCTTGTAAACTGCACAATGGCTCGCATGATCACCTGACTTTTTATTTGTGGGAATATTTTACGAACGTTGTGTGTGATTAGGAACTAACAACCAGAGAAGATAGTTCGAATTCATATCATAATTGAACCTCCGAATAACGGACACCGATGGGAACGTAAAAACGGCCGTTATTGTAAGTTCGATTGTAAAAAATCGCACTAATTTGTATGAAGCAAAATATTTGTCATGTGGTTGCAAATCATGTAACTTATAGCTGGAGTTATGTCTTTGCAACATGATTTAATCTCTCGTGTCCTGGACCGAATATAGAAATTCCCAAGCAAATCTCAAAATCTCTATTGTTTTCTACACTTATAAATATAGGTATTTAAGATGGGAACAGAAATAACTGACCGTATACGTCGCAACTATCTCCATGGTAACAGGCATCGCAGACGCATTTTCCTGCCACGTCACAAAAGCCGTGATAACAGGGTATCGATCTGAAAGTAAAAACTTTAATACAACCTTAAAGTATAACTCATACAATGCGTTATATAACATGCAAGTTTGCCTCACCTCTGGCAGTTCTCTTGGAGGCAACTCTTATCGTATTGTACACACAACTCCACACACAAAGAAACTGTAAAGAAGATCACGTTAATCTCTGGTGTTTAAAGCCAGTGTAGTAGAAAATAAAGGAAAAAAATAAAAAATAAAAAAAAGGGCACCTGGAAACAGGAGGAGAAGAACGGATGCCACCAGTTTCTTCATAGTTTCTATCGTAACTGAAGATGCAAAAAGGGTGCGTGGGTATGTTTATGCACAGTTGCCAGGGTTACCTACGCCAAGCGTGACTTCACCCACTGTAGAGATATGCATCGCAGATTTTTGAAGGTGATCTCTGTTATAAATAATTCATGTCTCTATCGCGGATTACCCGTTTTATCGCCATTTAAAGCGATCGATGAGCGCGTGCCGACTTTCAAGATTATCGTAACACAACATTTCAACGCGTAGAAATAATATACAGGTGTATAAAATATATTGTAAACAAAGAATAAATGGGTGTCCAGTTGAAAATATAGACAATTTCTATGTTAAGAACAGTATCGATCCATAAGGAGTAATACGGGTATCTTATCTCAGATGTGGTTCTATTCAACTAGATTCGGACCCCGATATAAGGATTTTGGAAATAATGGACCAAATCCTCTGGTTCCCAAACATCTGTCCGATTAGAAATGGTAGTTAATTAATATGTTAGTAAGCGGAATGGCCACTAGACGGAGATTTTTCGTTCCTGTGTTTCTCGTGTGGTATTTACACAATATAAATGTACCAATTTAATTTTCTGATTGTATGGTATCTTCGGATAGTGTAACACTGTGTATTAACGAACCATCGCTCCCGTGGATTCGTTACATCAAGGTCCAACAATACCAGGTTACGGGCGAAATTCCCAACAAACCGAAATTGTATCTAATTATGTATAGCGAGACCTCTATTTAGTGTGGCGCTAAATAGAAAAACCTGGTGTAATGGAAAATTATGTATGATAAGTAATTTTCCACCATATTGTGCATTGACATTGCACGGAGAATACTGTTTATAGAACGAACTGTGTCATTGTCTTACTTAACTGTTTGTCACGTAGATGCACCCAATGTCGTGCCCCGATTTCTATGAAGAAAACAATTGATAGAAAACTTTCTCCACTTGTGCCCTTTACGCTTCAGTTTGTGAGAGGTCCTCTATTGTCCATAATGCGCTGTAACCAGAATACTATACCTCCTGAATTGGCGCGGATTCCGAGAAAACAGGCCTGCCAGTCATACGTCACAATCGTGCCACTTGTCTCGATTAAACGGCGCGGTCTCCCGAATAATCGAGATAAATTCTGAATACTTTCTTAATCGCGTCTGTGGCCTTATTGAATCTAGTCTACCGAATTGATTAATTCATTAAGCACAGGTGCTGATATTTCTGCCCGTTTTCCCGCCACCGTGGGCAGGAAGATGGGCGATCCGCCAAGGAGAAGTGCCTGTCGCGAGGACTTTCTGTGGGAAATTTGATTTTGTTTAGTGTTAAACAGGTGAAAAAACCCGAGAAAACATCACCATCCGTTGAAACGGGCATTTTCTGGACGCGAACCATAGACCCGTCCGGAAACATTCTCCACCATTAAAGTGTTGTATATTGAGGAGCGGGTCAACATGGAGAAGAACAGAATTTGGAAATATTCAAGGAGAATAGAACAGGATATTTATAAACCGTGATAGCAACAATGGTATAAAAGAAGGGGTCTTCCCTTCTTTATGGCGAAAAATTACTCCTTACAATAGCTAATTCTCATTACTTGTGGTTTTTCCGTTTAGCACCACGCTCGATTGTTGGCGGGGGTTTGAACACCACCAACGGAGTTTTCGGGGTTTTCTTCACGTGCCTAACACTTAAATACGAACCAATCATCGGCAGATCCGCGTGTTGCGTTGCCTTATCCATTAAATCCAATCAATCCATAAGGATCCGATTTTGTAGGCTGTCGAGAAGCTATCGTTTATTGTATACAATGTTGTTCCTTAACACACACACACAACAGGATGATGAATTTTTCACGGGCGATCTCCCTCGTTAGAGAGAAAAATCTACTTGTGACGCCACCGGAAACACTTTACCCGGATAAAATTCGATCTTTTACAGCAATCCTGGATCGATGTCAGGAATTTCCCTTAACCGGAATTCGGATTTCCCTTTCGTCATTGGTCTACTTTCGGAATTCCCCGTCGAAAGGGGGAAGAAGCGAACCATCGACCGTTTTCCACCATTAGTGTTGAGTAGAGAAGAGCGGGGAACCGAAAATGTGTGGAGATGGTAAAGAAGACATTCGAACAGAATAGGAACAGGTTGCTGTTAACGTGATAGCAACAGTAATGTTAAAGGGAAGACAATTCACGTGAGTAGCTTTTGTTCCCTTCTTAAACGTTTTGTCTCGAAGGTTCCACTACGGATAGTAAAAATCTCGAGTTCCCGGATAATGCGCATAGCCCTATAGAGCAACGAACCTGCTCTTTCTGAGCTTTTAAAACCGAGAATACGAAAGAAACGACTAGTGTTAGGTATGACTAAAAACACGTATCAACAAAAGAAAAACCAACACAAAATTCGTGGTTAATTCCGAAGAGGGTTCTACTTAATTCGAAGTGGCTATCTGGGAGAAGGTTTACAGCAATCGAAAGATCCAATCAACGGGATGGGTTTCAACTTCTGGGCGATTCCTTCCTTTTTGACACAGGATTGCCGACAATACCACAATGTTACTAATTCTGTCGCAGATGTCAAAAAGCGAACCTGGTGGCACTTCCAACAACTACAGCGATCACCACTTTATCGTTTTGAGTTTGCGGGATTTGGTGTAGGGGGTTCGCATCCGGCACACCATGTGAATTTCTTCCACGCATGTCCACCAGTTCCCATAGAGACATCCCTCTTGGCAGATGATTCACGCGTTGCGTTTCCTTATTCCATCGTTCCAAAATTAATGCCAGACAGCAAAACTTGTTCAAAACGGAACCCGAATGAACCGGTGACACTTCGAAACAGAAACAATGCCAAACAGGTAAATATATATTCAGTACCGTATGATTCCGATTTAAACAGATTTCACTGTAGAGCTATATAATATGCATTTGAAAATGTCCTCGGAATGCACAGGGTTTATCTTTTCAGGGCGTTCTTACTTGTCCTTAGACCACAGGTTACAAAAGCATTTCAATTACAGTATTTCTATTCTTATAGAGGGGCGGTTAAATCCTGGGTTGTTCGTATATAACGACTTTTTACGACGACGTAACTAGCGAATGAATAGTTACGTTTTATTATAAACGTACCTTGATTAAATACATTGTGAATCTGTGTAAGCCGGAATTGCACGGTACCGAATATTTCTACTGCTTCGGAAGGTTTCCGTTTTAGACGCGTTTTATCGAAATAACGCGACTCTTCATTCGTCTCTCCGCCGTCTGCAATCACGATTAAAGAGTTGAACTTGTCGCAACATCGAGAGCAATCCTTTGTTCTCGTTATTATAATCTTTATTTTCGAATACAAAGAAAACAATACTCGTGACGCATTGTTTCTGTCGCATAACTCGTCTTCCAGACCGATCTTGGAAGCGTCATTCGCTGCCAGACGCGCATCCTACGCTTTATGGCTTCGTGAGGCCAAGGAAGATCAGAATTAGGGCCCCCTGCATACAATGTCGACTACAGACATTTTCGAAGAAATATTTTATTAAAAAACATCGGCCGGTGGACCCTTCGTTATGGGCCTCGAACACCATCTAGTTCCGGGCAGCATTACAGCGGGAACACGCGCGTAAAACCGGGTAGCGGCGGAAACAAGGCACGCGTTAAATTAAATTTCCATCTGAATACGCGCCCGCCTTCTCGGTTTCCGGCGTAACAAGAGAGACTCTTCTACCACGCGTAACGCACTAACTTCCGCCACTTCGAGCGTAACGGAGAGAGGAGAGACGGCAACCGGAACATGTATCTTTTCGATGATTTATTGAAACATATTAACAGTGATTTGTACATTTGTCACAATATGTTCATTTAAGTTTACAGTCATTATATAAAATCGTCGTGACATCAAAAAAAGTTAAACGTGGTTTTGTTTTTGTCCCTCGGAGTTCTCACGGTCTGCACACTTGAATCTTATTGCACAGATTTACGATTAATTCCGATACCCTGTTATAAAAATCGTGTGGCGACGAGCGACGAAACGGAAGCGACGAGTCGTGTTCCCGTCGGTTTCGTCTTCTCGTTCTGTTCTTCGTTATTGCGGAAACGTTTTTTAAAAGGTGGCGCCCTTCCTTCCCGGCGGGAACCGGAAGGGGCGGAGGGCGGTCCGACGGAAACTGCGGGGGACCCGGAGTCTCCCGCCCGGACCGCGGGATATAATAAGATCGGAACGGGAAGGGGAATATATTAAGCGTATATTTATATATATATATTTATATTCATTTATTTATATATATATTCGTATTTATAACCTTGCGGGGGGCGTTCGTTGGGTAGAGCGACGTCACTTTTGTTTTTCCACGCGACGAAAACGACTCCGGTGTGTAAAGATCTGTACAGAGTAAAATCGACGACGCGCGCGCGCTCCGAGGTGGTCGGCGTAAGACCGCCCCGGGGGCGGAGGGGCGTCGGAACGCGCCCGGCGGGGCGCTTCCGGACGGGCCGGTCGACGGGGCCGGAGGCGGCGGGGCGGAAGGGGCTCCGCCGCCCCCTCGCTCTCTTTTAAAAGTCGGAAACATAAAAAAATATATATCGCCGGCATCGGCCGCGCGGCGGAAGCGTGGCGGCCGCCGACCCGCGTACCGACGTGTACGTCGCGCGTGTGCGAGTCTGTGTGTATGTGTGTATATATATATATATATTTATGTATGTATATATATATATAATCTGGGAATAACCTTATAAACGGAAAACGTTTCGTACGGTAAACTGTTATAAACGGGTAGCGAATAAAGTATCTAGAACTTTTCTTAAAAACGGCTCTCTTTAAGATGGAAGCGCGTCGTCCGCGTCGCGGCGGGTATTAAAGGGACGACGACGACGAACGTCGGACGCGGCGGAGCGTTTGGTCCGGGGAGCGCGTCGGGGGACGACTCGATCGGGCGACGTACCGGAGCGCGCGCTCTTCAGTCCCGCAACTGCACCAAATATCTCAGGCAGATCCGCGAGGGGTCGAAGGCGACGTACTCGCTGTAGCGCAGGTATCCGCCGGGGCATCGGTCGCGGCCGTCTTCCTCCCAGTCGTCGACCGCCGGACCCACCGGCCACCTACATCCTGAAACGAGAAAAAAAAACACACCTCCAGTTAGAAGAGCGCACTTTGATCACTCGCATTTCCGTTTTCCTTCTACGTCACTTCGAAGTGACTGAGGAGGGAAATCTTTATCTCCGGATTTTACTGACCTTGCCAACAAACGGAATAAGGCGGACTGGGCTGTCTACTTCCGGCCACTTTGACAGAATCGACCTCTTTCGGCACGTCATCTCCCACGTCGATTTTAATCGTATTGCCTAGAGCCACCTGGCGGAGAAAAATTTTCCGTTATTTTCCTGGCAAAAAAAAGAAGTATTTTGCCTGCCAGCCAGAGTACTTACCTCGCACAGGAGCATGTAGGTGGAATCGCAATTGTTGGACCAGCAGTACGAACGGCTCTTCTTAAACATGTCGGCGAAGTACACCCCCTGCGTACAAAAGTTATATATATATATATATATATATTTATTCACTTCGTCCCTTCTACCAAAAAAATGTTACGCGGTAGAAACTGTTCTGGGTTTAGATTTACCTTTCCAAAAGCGCTCCCGCTATGGTACACCCCCAGGGGAGCGGGCTGCAGTCCCCTCTTCAAGATCCCCAGAAGATTGGATACCTTCGTCCCGTGCCACAGCATGGCGTGATGCGGAAGATCTTTGGCATCGGCAGACTCTCCCTCCCGGAACACCCGGAAGATGGCTTCTACCTTGGGTTTAATTTTGCCTGTCAACCACAGAAAATTCCGGTTAATGAAGTTAACTGGAGAAAATCCACCTAAGGGAGAAAAAGTTAAGGGGTCCAATTTACCGCAACTGTTGTGGATGTATTGCAGGATCAGTTGAGCTTCCGAACCATTTTCGTCCAGCAGATCCAGCTGACAACCCAGACACCTATACACGTAGTCCGATGGATTTATTTCTGCAAAAAATGTAAAAATTCGATTTCGTCACAGAGTTCTCCCCAGAAAGAAGTCGAACCCCGGGGTGGGGTGGAAATTACCTTTTGATCTGTATTGGGCCGCCAGCAGCAACTCTCCGGAAAATTCGATGTGCATCAGATCGTGAACGACCTTCATCTGATGCTCGATCTCATTCCGAGTCGACAGCAACGCCATTTTTTCGTAACTGTAGCCGTACAAAGGCACTAATCGATAGAACTTCTCGCTCAAGTCGAGAATCTAAACGTGAAGAAACAATATAAATTAACTTGCCAAAATAGCTGCACTTTCTAAGAGGACCACCCCCTTGGCAAATAACGGAAATTCTTTGCAAACAAAAAATTCCAAAGAATTTCCATCTTTTGCAAGGGTGATTCTCAAAATAGAGTGTTATATATAAATACAGAACCCGAATAAGACTGAATTCTTCACGGTCCCGCGCAATTCCGGCTTTAACAGTTTGGTTTATTCCTTTACAGCCACGCCACGTGCCTCCCGGGAGGACTTTGTGGGAAAACTCCCGAGGCGCAAACCCGCGACCAATCAATCTAATACAATTACTCGTCTTCGGGCCAGAAAAAATGTAATTTTACTTACTTTAGCCGACAACTCTTCGTACTTGTCTTGAGTTTTTAAAGAATTTTCCAGATTATCTTTCTCCGTTACGACTTCGCTACAAGAGAACACTAAATTAATATCGCAGCGTAAATACCAAACGTAAAATTATTCAATTAACGGTCGCGTTAATCCGAACCGCCACTAGTCTCGATTGGCAATCTTACTGCTATCTCGGTACAGTAAAACCTCGATCTAACGGGCTAAAGAACTCGTGATAATTATTAATTCGGTTAAATGTATATTATTAGATTGACTGCAAATGAAAGACTTAACTGTAAACTAACATTAATTTGCTTTAACGAGTAATATTAAATTTATCATGTTATTGTATACGATCTGTATGTTTGCAGAAAACTGGGTATACAGTAACACTATTATTTCTAAACTACATTTTATATGATTATAATGTTAATGTATTATTTAAAATTAAAAAAAAAAAAAAAAAAACTAAATACCTTGCCATTTGGAGTATTTTCTCGGCTTCGACGAGAGAAGACTCCGATAATGTACCAAAAGGCGAATTTTCCAGACATCCCATGTCCTTCAATGACCTTTTTATCATGTGAACGTCCATCTGAAATCAAAAACATTTTCTTAATCGATAAAAAAGATTCCTATGATTCTTTGCAATTTGAATTCCCCACATTTTCGGGTTTTCCCGATAAAAACCTAGAATTTCCTTGACGATAGGGTGCATTTTGTCACGAAAAAAAAAATGGATCAGAGGATTTTTCCAGTAAGTTTATGTTATATTTGACTATCAGAAGACAAAAATTGGTTACGTAGGACTTCCAATCGTATAGAAAGTCCCGTGAAGGCTTATTTTAGAGAGAGTCATTTAGAGATCATAATGAATTTTCCCCCTACAATCAATGATTTATATTTCTAAAGGCTGATTTTATCTTTTCTTTAAAGATTTTAAAGAATAACAATAAAAAAAAATTCACATCAGTAATGTTTATAATAGACTTCTGCTTAAAATTTCATTAGCTCCTTTGTATTTCCCCAGTGCACAGACGAATAGTTTGACAACTACAAATTTAAAATGTTACACGACGACTCCTTTTATAAGAAAGATACCACTGGGTATTCAATTATTATTATTTAAAATCTCTCTGTAGACTGTTTTAAGATTGGATCGACTGCTTTTATACTGAAAAATTAAAATGTAAAATGGTAATTTTGCTGCCAATTTATGTAAATACAAAGACTATCATAAATAAATGATCAAAGAAAGTAATTAAAAATATAATTTATTAAATAGTACTTACTAAATTTTTAAGAAGTTTGTTTAGGCAAGGAGAAAGCTTTGAAGGCACATTACTGGCAATATCTACTAAAATCTCTTTTCTCTGTACAAATGACCTTTTATCTAAAGAAACTAGATCATATTTCTTTGGCTGATGTTGGAAACTGAAAATATTTTTATTATAAAAGAATTAATTTGAAAATTTATCATTCAGTAGCAAAATTATCTGTCGACTTACTTTTTTACATTTTCCCAAGTGTTTCCCGATTTGCTTTTAAATATTTTACAAAATTCTTTTATGGCCTCATCCATTATCCGAAATGGAGTTTTTTGATATTGACCGGAATCGCCCACTCTTCCCCATCGAGTGAACAGAATGACTAAGTCTTTTGCCTTTTGATGAATGAGCTGTAGGTTATATAAATTTTAAATTAAATTTGTGAATTTTTACGACCGAGATCCAAAGAAAAAAAATCGTACCTGCATTTTGTAAAAATTGTAAAGACCGTAACTCCCGTAATTTAAGTCGACTTTTATCATTAAGATGTCGTAGGGTAAGTCTTGATCTTTATCGAAGAGTACCTCCCTGGAAAATTATCTTGGTGTAAGTAGATAGAAATTTGACAAATTAATTTTCATTCATTTATATTATACCCGGTCTCCGCGTGTTCATCGGGCTGACAGAGGAATGTGGTTTCCATTTGTTCGTCTTGCAATTCTCTAAGCAAAGCTTTGGAATCTTCTTTGTAATTCCACTGGGAAACTCCTAAATCTAGAGCGATTCCTCCGACAGAAGGAAATTTGATCTGCAATTTCTCCTGAGAAGTAAAAACATGTATTATTTCTTTGTGACTTATATCTCAAAAATTTTTCTAATTACCTGATTCTCAGGAGGCACTTTTAATAATGTCTGCAATGCTTCTATTGCATTTTCAGCTTTGTTCCTCAATGCTAACTGCAGCGGCGTGTTACCCTCTTTGTCTGGGAGATCCAGTGGTGCACCGACGTGAGCAAGAAGTTTTAATACAGATACGTTGTCGTAGCTGAATTCGCTGAAAGGTGAAATTATGTGATGCACTACTGTCCTTCCCATAATATCTTTATGTGCTAAATCTACTTGACTGGTCTTCTTCATTTTTATTATTGACGTTTCTGTATAAAATGAAGTATATTTAATTAATTCATTAAAGGATATACAACTTTATAAAGTAACAAAATACTTAATACTTAATTTACCTGAATAAGGATATTTGTCTTTACTGGGATCATAACTATTATCTAATAAAAGCTTCACCATTTTAATATCATTCTAAAATCATTTAAATAAGACAATCCTTTATTTATAAAATTATATTTGGCAATAACTTGAAATAATTTCAAAATCAAACTTACTAATTTAGTGGCTATCATTATGGGTGTCTGCTGTTGATCGTTACAGAAATTTACGTCAGCTCCAGTCTTCAAAAGAAGTCTGGCAACCTCAATATTTTGTTTATATATGGCGACCATCAGAGGAGAAATGCAAGGGGCATAAGGATTTTCTTCGTGTAGTTCATCTGAAGCGATGAATCTCACTCCAGGATAAGAAGATTGTTGGATGGGATAACGAGTCAGTATGTTTGGATTGGCTCCCTCTTTTATCATTTTCAAAAACCAGGTTCTAACAACAAATATATATAATTAGTATGTATAATTGCAGTCAACAAACTCGAAGGTTAGTAATTAATTTAAAATTTTTTCCTACTTTATAGGCTGGGGAAGAGATTTCTCACCAAGCTGCCAGAACAAAGCTGACAATGGTGTTCTTAATGATTTATCCGGATCTGCCTGAACGCTTGCCAAGGTGCCCACCTTATCTAAAATGATATAGAAATTATCGGTCATTCAGGCATTACAAGTAAATAAATAAGGAAACAATATATACAGTAATTAATAAAGATAACCTGTTAGATGAAATATGACTAGCTTAGTTTTGTTGTCATATCTAAAATACCAACATTACGTTTTGCGCAACAGAAGTTTAAAGTCAATTTGAGATTTTGCAGGCTGGAAAGTTGAAAAGAGTCCAAATAAAAAGAAAAATGCATGCAAACGAGGTAAATAATCAAACAATTTTTCACAAAATATGAGAATGCATGTTGTGTAGGTTTATTTATTTTATAAAAATTTAAAAAACTGACAGAAGTAACACATGCCAAAGAAATCAAGATTGGAAATCTTCAAGGCAGTCTCAAAATTGGAGGCTCGACAGCCACATGGCAGAGGCACGAAAGCCATGGCAAACCACTTTGGGGACCAAGTATGGAGTCCAGACAAGCAACTTCCCAGGTATTTTTAAAGGTGGTCCACCCTACATAAGTTTGGTACCATCCATCCCACTAGACAAAGCCTCAATGGATAGGAAAAAATAAATCCCTCAGTGCAACCAAATCATCATCTTTTAAGATATTTTTTCATATAATAGTGGTACGTTTGAAATGTCACAAAAAAGTATTGTAGCAAACAATAATTTGGCAATTATAAGCAATGAGGTGGTTGGTTGCAAAACAAGATATGAATTTTAATAAATCATATAAAAGCCTAATAAAATGTAACTAAACTAGACAAAAATATTATACTTGGATTTTGTTAAAAATACACGGCTTTCTGTAGATACTGAAGTTTAATAAATGGAAACAGATATATAGCATTTAAACACAGACTCATACTTGGAAAGATACACTTGACTTGAGCTTGTTGTGTCTCAAAATATCAAGTTTTAACAAACCCTAAGTGATGCCAAAACATAATAGAAGGAAGCCATGATTCTTCAAATGCATAAAAACATTTTTACTACAGAAAAGAATTAAATAAAAAGAGAAGCAGCAATAAAACTGTTCCCAGATACAAAAGATTTAAATATGAAATTAAGTTCTTTGCTTCAAAAAATGGAATTTTGAATCCAGATGCCTGGGCTTAATTTGTATGTAGGTTTGCATTACTTTTTTTATATGACTTCTTCAATAAAACAAATCTGAAATGTTCTATTTTAAATAAACAATCTTTTGATAATTAATGTTTAATTATTTTGCTTTTAAGGTGGCAACATGTTGCATCATAAAATGAATTCAGTTCATACTTTATGATAAAATCATAAAAATAAATTACTTACTTAAGGAAGCAAAAGAAAATTAATAAAAATATTCCCACCCATAATTATGGCCATCATTAGATGAAGATACATTTGAAAATTTGGAAGAAAATTTAATGATTTCGTCAATGATGACCTGAAATGTTTCTTACCAAATACCTTTGTTTTTCCATAAATAAGCACATAAGATTTTATACATAAAAATTCTTTATAAATAACAAACTCTACAACTGTATCCTTACTGGCAGTCCAAGATGCTTCCCGACCCACGATGAATTGGTCACTGACTTAAACCCCCAATCACCAAAATATCAGAAAACACCCAACCACCCTTGATAATGCAAACAAGCATATTAAGAACCTAAAAAAGTATTACCTTCCGATTTGGACTGGTTAGGCTAAGAGCCACAGTCCAACAAACACTTTATTTCTAATAATTATTTTATTTATAATATTTAGTTCAAATCTTTTACTCATGTTTTTATCCTGATGTTTAAATTTTAAATATTTCTGAATCATAACTTCATACATCACCAAGAATATAGTAATTAAATATAATAAAAGTAACTGAATTCATTTCTTTCATTCTTTAACAGAAAGCTAATAATGAAAAAAACTGATGCTCTTGCTTATCAGTTTGTATCCATCAAAAATATAATTATTTAATTAAATTTAAAACTTACCGTATATAAAAGATATTAACGAAGAATTCCATTTTAAAGCACTGTATATCATAACAGAACAACCGTGCTCGTCTTTAGCCATTAAAGGTACTCCTTTGTCTATTAAAGCTTGAGCGACCTGAAATGTATAGCATTACAGTACGCTGATTTTGTTAAGAATACAATACTGGAAGTTTGAGACACAGTTTTGTTTTTACCTTAGTTTGTAATTTAGATTCCGGTTGTCTTGCCAATATGTGTAGTGTGCTCTGTTTTTCGTTATATAACGTCCAACTGTGTTTGACGCGTGGAATCAATTTCAGAGCCAAGTTATATTTTCTTGTCTTCAGAGCTGCCTATATTGAGTCACAATACAGAGTTACATTTCAAGTATATTTATACAAAATTATATTTTCTAAAATATTATGCAATCTGAAATATTTCTCATACCATAATTTATTTATTTATTTGTTAAAAAGTAAAAGAATTCTTACCAAATCAATTCAAATGAAGTAACATTCATCTTAGTCTATTAATATTTATCTCAGAATATAAATATTTTAAACTATGATTATTAACAAAAGAGTCACACACCAGGATAAAATTATCTAATTACCAAAAGATTTGACATGTAACTATGCCTCAGACAGTCATGTAAATGATCACAATTGCAATCTGACTTTGTGCTGGGTAATGCTGTCAGAAATCACTACCCAACATCCTATTGAGGCTTGCACGAACTCACCATATTTTCAACTATCAAAAGACAAGCAAGCTTGTACATCACATTCAAAGACATTACACATAGACAACCAAATTTGAAAAAAGCTATCCTGCAGAATGGAGGGTGCTTGCTATCTGCACAGTTCTGATTAGGGTTTCTGATATAAATATAAATTCACAGGAATCCTGGAAAGTTTATGAAGTCAAAAATTTTTCCAAAAATTTTTTAAGCTTTTAAAATTTGACAGAATATTTTGCAACTAACAACTAAATTCATTCTAGATACATTAAAATTTTTACATAGGGTACATTTTTCATGCAGAGCAGCTTAAGAGACTTTTGGGATAATTTAACTGACAAAGTATTCTTAATTTGTCTATATAAAAGTTCAGTATTTTGCTCATAACATACTTTTTTTTAATAGTTTTCATATTTTTTTTTAAGTATTATGCTGCACAAAAAACTCTTCAGATTTGAAAATGGATAATGATCATATAATGTCTCCATTTTAGAACTCGCATTTCCTGCAAAAGCGTTTGGTGTAGGCCAAGAACATTTGAAGAGCTTTGCTGTTGTTCTGATGAGTTGACAGCAAAGTTTATTAAGGCATTTGCCATAATATTTTTAAGATACAAGTAAACTTCAAAAATATTTTAAAATTTTAGGGTTTGCAATTTTTAAAACCATAATTAACATTATTTTTTTTTTTACAGAATCCTAATATTTCAATTATGTCACTTTGCTCTGATAATGTAATCACTTACTACTATACTCATTACATTAGCACTAATAAAATTTCATTCAATTCCGACACACCTTTCTTGGTGCATAACCTTTTTGTCATTGAGTGTATTCTAATCAGTTGCTGTCAAATAGAAAATTTTTTAATTATTTTAAGTTTAAAAGGGTAAATTACAAAAAAATATAAACTATAATTTAGATGTTTCATATAGAAATTAGTCCTAAATATAGAGAAGTACAAATACAAAATAAGCATATCAAATATTTATGATAAACTGTTTTCTTAAGGAACTTTTAAAAATTGCATGTGGTCACCTACTATTACTAAATCCTCAGTATTCAAGTATAGTTTTAAGATTTTCAAAAGTATATATTAACATTATATATATTTGTCAAATCAAAGAAAGCCCATACTGTTAATGTTTTCAGTTTATTAACTATTAAATAAACTCAAAATATAAATTTCATTATACGAAAAATTTTAAGTCTTGATGAATTAAGAATATTTTATCTTGAAAGCAATACTCCCATCCAAAAAGACCAAAAAACATCCTATTATGCAAGAAAATATTTGGATTTATGTGTAATTTTTGAATATAATTAATAAAATCTATCTTTACCTCAATAGCAATGCTGTAACCTTTATTGATTGATTCCAACTGATCAAGCATAAGGAATACAATCCCCTGTAGATCTTTCTGTACGGCTTCCTAATACATATAAAAGTGTAGTTATTATTATTATTAAATTTGCAATGTTTAAATTTTAATAATTTAAATATTTACTATCATCACGATATGCCAGGATATGGCATAGCCTCTTTCAGGCTTACAAAGACTGTTAAAATTTCAAAGTAAACATAATTACTTATGTATTGTATCTGTACTATAACACCTTTATACTATTATTTCATTTAAATTAAACAATCCCATTAAACTACTGAACAGATTACATAAATAATAATGCAGTTTTACAATTAATTTCATTTATTAAATATATTTACACGCCATATTTCATTTTTCTGAGAATATTCTCGTATTTTTCCAATAACAATGATGTAATCTATAAAAGTATGTTTAATCATTTCTATTATTATTAACATTTTTTGTAAAAAACTAATAATAATAAACATATACCAAAACTCAGATTAAAAAATTCTAAAATATTTGTTTTTTAGTGCTATGCCAGTCCCTTTTTATGTCACAACTCAGGCAAAATAATATGATTTAGTACTTACTTGTAAGATAGAACATCTTAAGGGAGGAGGAATTTCTTTTTTAAGGTAATGCCAGATCCAGTAGTGTTTGTTCTCTGTTTTTTTATCAGGAGAGGATTTGACGTTCTTTATGAGATCTGCCGTGCAACTGCATCCTTTCTGAAGCAACATTAATGTACAACTATAAGAATAATTAAAACTTTTTATTAATATCAATTTTTAATAATATAGTTCTTAAAAATAATTATTAATGTAAATTTTGATTTTCTGTTTGTAAAAAAGTATACTTACCTTTGATAATTGTAATTACTTAGCCCCTGAGTAACAGGGCTTCCACCCTTTATACTAATAAAGACTGATTTATAATATAGTTCTTAATACTTTTAATATTCTAAGTTAAAGAGGAATAATTTGCTAAATTCGAATCTTAAAAAAAATCACATAATGTATTGGGTTATTCGAAGAGTAATTTCGTTTTTTTACCACTAGACGGATTAGTCGTATTTTTCCTGCCATTTTCATTCTAAACCATATTATCATTATATATTTTGACAGCTAGCATTTTAAGGCTTATTTGTAAAAAATTTTGTTTGATTTCGTGCAATTGTTTATTTTTTGTGTCCCATCAAATATGAAAAATCAAAAGCAGCATTTTCAGCTTATTTTGCTCTTTTATTACTGAAAAGGTAAGAATGCTGTTCAAGCAAGAAAAAAATTGTGTGACATGTATGGAGAAGATGTATTGACAGAACAACAGTACCAAAACTGGTTTACAAAATTTTGTTCTGGCAATTTCAATATCGAAGATGCACCACATGCTGGATGGCCAGTTGAAGCCAATGAAAACAAAATAAAGATACTGATTGAAGCAAACCGCTGAACAACAACACATGAAATCACTATGAAATTAAATTTGTGAAATTGAACTGTTTATGATTACTTGAAACAAATTGGTTTTGTTTCAAAGCTTGCTATATGGGTTCCACATGTAAATAAAGAGAGATGCTCTCTTTGGTGGAGTTTAAGGAAATTTTTTTTGGAGCTTTTACCAGACAAGTTAACAATTGATTCAAAAGTGTACTGCCATCGAGTAAACAAATTGAGTAATATCATCAAACAGAAAAGGCNAAATCATAAAAATAAATTACTTACTTAAGGAAGCAAAAGAAAATTAATAAAAATATTCCCACCCATAATTATGGCCATCATTAGATGAAGATACATTTGAAAATTTGGAAGAAAATTTAATGATTTCGTCAATGATGACCTGAAATGTTTCTTACCAAATACCTTTGTTTTTCCATAAATAAGCACATAAGATTTTATACATAAAAATTCTTTATAAATAACAAACTCTACAACTGTATCCTTACTGGCAGTCCAAGATGCTTCCCGACCCACGATGAATTGGTCACTGACTTAAACCCCCAATCACCAAAATATCAGAAAACACCCAACCACCCTTGATAATGCAAACAAGCATATTAAGAACCTAAAAAAGTATTACCTTCCGATTTGGACTGGTTAGGCTAAGAGCCACAGTCCAACAAACACTTTATTTCTAATAATTATTTTATTTATAATATTTAGTTCAAATCTTTTACTCATGTTTTTATCCTGATGTTTAAATTTTAAATATTTCTGAATCATAACTTCATACATCACCAAGAATATAGTAATTAAATATAATAAAAGTAACTGAATTCATTTCTTTCATTCTTTAACAGAAAGCTAATAATGAAAAAAACTGATGCTCTTGCTTATCAGTTTGTATCCATCAAAAATATAATTATTTAATTAAATTTAAAACTTACCGTATATAAAAGATATTAACGAAGAATTCCATTTTAAAGCACTGTATATCATAACAGAACAACCGTGCTCGTCTTTAGCCATTAAAGGTACTCCTTTGTCTATTAAAGCTTGAGCGACCTGAAATGTATAGCATTACAGTACGCTGATTTTGTTAAGAATACAATACTGGAAGTTTGAGACACAGTTTTGTTTTTACCTTAGTTTGTAATTTAGATTCCGGTTGTCTTGCCAATATGTGTAGTGTGCTCTGTTTTTCGTTATATAACGTCCAACTGTGTTTGACGCGTGGAATCAATTTCAGAGCCAAGTTATATTTTCTTGTCTTCAGAGCTGCCTATATTGAGTCACAATACAGAGTTACATTTCAAGTATATTTATACAAAATTATATTTTCTAAAATATTATGCAATCTGAAATATTTCTCATACCATAATTTATTTATTTATTTGTTAAAAAGTAAAAGAATTCTTACCAAATCAATTCAAATGAAGTAACATTCATCTTAGTCTATTAATATTTATCTCAGAATATAAATATTTTAAACTATGATTATTAACAAAAGAGTCACACACCAGGATAAAATTATCTAATTACCAAAAGATTTGACATGTAACTATGCCTCAGACAGTCATGTAAATGATCACAATTGCAATCTGACTTTGTGCTGGGTAATGCTGTCAGAAATCACTACCCAACATCCTATTGAGGCTTGCACGAACTCACCATATTTTCAACTATCAAAAGACAAGCAAGCTTGTACATCACATTCAAAGACATTACACATAGACAACCAAATTTGAAAAAAGCTATCCTGCAGAATGGAGGGTGCTTGCTATCTGCACAGTTCTGATTAGGGTTTCTGATATAAATATAAATTCACAGGAATCCTGGAAAGTTTATGAAGTCAAAAATTTTTCCAAAAATTTTTTAAGCTTTTAAAATTTGACAGAATATTTTGCAACTAACAACTAAATTCATTCTAGATACATTAAAATTTTTACATAGGGTACATTTTTCATGCAGAGCAGCTTAAGAGACTTTTGGGATAATTTAACTGACAAAGTATTCTTAATTTGTCTATATAAAAGTTCAGTATTTTGCTCATAACATACTTTTTTTTAATAGTTTTCATATTTTTTTTTAAGTATTATGCTGCACAAAAAACTCTTCAGATTTGAAAATGGATAATGATCATATAATGTCTCCATTTTAGAACTCGCATTTCCTGCAAAAGCGTTTGGTGTAGGCCAAGAACATTTGAAGAGCTTTGCTGTTGTTCTGATGAGTTGACAGCAAAGTTTATTAAGGCATTTGCCATAATATTTTTAAGATACAAGTAAACTTCAAAAATATTTTAAAATTTTAAACCTGAAACAAAATAATTTTTTTTAAACTTTAAATTTAAAATTAAAGAAACATTGTAGAATGTATTTTTATATACTGTTATATTAAAGCATACCATACTTTAATGTAACAATATATAAAATTAGTCATGCGAAAAATGTAAAAATAACAACAATTATCTTAAGGATTCACAAAATGGAGTTAATTGATTTGGTCTGTGAACGACTCATATATAAATACAAAATACAGTTTCCTAATAATTACTGTTTCATCACTTCAAAAATCGTACATTTGACTGATAAAGCTAATTGTGTAATGAAATTATATAAAAATACAATAAAAAAAGAATTTATTTAATGTCTACTATGCTAAAAACCAAGATAAAGTTTAAAATAAAGTTAATTACATTGTAATTTATTTATTTATTACAATGACAAATGTACCTTTCATGACTGTTCATTACTGCCAAGCCAAGAGGAGTGTTTCCTTCTTTGTCCCTTATATCAATATTTTTCATTTTCTGAAAATATTCATTTATATAAGAAATATTCTGTATATATGAAATATTATAATCATACTAAATAGTTCTACAATACATTACCGAAGCCAGGTGCATGCAAGAAATAGTAGCACCTCGAAATGCTGCCCTGTGTAGTGGCGTCTGGCCATAGTTGTCTGCTATTTCGAGAGGAACAGAACCCATGGCATTTGTGAGCAAAGCGACCAATTCAATCGGATCAATTTGATGAGTACACTCAGGGCTGAAATGAACATGTGTAAAATTGATAAGAAAAAAGCTATGAAAAACAAATTGCATTTTAAAATATAATTAGCAAGAGTATGCCTATATAGTGGCTTTTACTGACACATACATACATTTATACATGTATATACCCTAATGCGGAGCTTAAAATTGTCACAAATTTTTGATGCAAATAGTCTATTAGAAATGAGGGAGCAAAGCCTGTGGAGAGAGTAAGCAGGGACGTCCATACACAACTGGGGGAAAAATTATGAAAAAAAATATTGCCAAGAATTGACATATTATCAAAATTTTTGAATAAGTGAGCAATGCTACCCTTGGTAATATATATATATACAAATTTTATAAATTAATTTGTGTTTTTAATTAGAAAGAAACTTCAAAACTATAAGACGACAATCAATATCTTAAATTTTTTAATTAAAGTTCATTGTAAATACCAATTAAGGAAGTTGTAACAGATTTGTGTTACAATAAATTGTCATTCTCTAGTTTTTGATCACTCTTCTACTTGTGTAACAAGTCCTTAAATAACGTAAGGTTCTTGTTAATGTTTTTTTACAATACTTAAATAAAATTGATCATAACAACTCTTATTATAAAGAACTGGTAAACTGTCTAACACTACAGTCCTTAAAGTAGAAAAATCTGCTGTAAAATGTTATTGCAAGCATTTTCATATTTATATTGATCATACAAATGAAAAATTTTGCAAACGTTAGAATTAATCATAAAGTAACAAGCATTCTTACTTGTTGAAAAATTTGACTTGGTAGACCTAAAATTTTTCAACAGAAGTACAAGCACTAATGTCACAAAAGAGTAAACAAAAGGGTTTTCTTTATAATATAAAGAAATTGTTATGTAAAATTAAGAAAAAAAGCTAAGATTTGCAAGAGTATTCATGCTAACAATTATGTAAAAAAAATAAATATCACAATAAACTGTATGTGTGTATTAAACTACATTTTGTAATTTACTTAAACGCATACATACTTATTGATATCAATAAAGGCATAATGGAGAGGAATTCTTCCGTATACATCGCACACATCAGTCTTACTGCCAGAATTTAATAAAAAATCTTCAACTGTATAAAATACATCTGCACCGTCCATGTGAGAATTCACAGCTAAGTGAAGGGGGGTTTGCTTCTCATTATTTACCGCATTAACTGATGCTCCGGCAGCAGTTAGGGCCTTTACGGTATCTAACACCTCTGAAAAAGTAATTATGGTATTATTCAGAAATGAAATGCAAATAAAACAATTGTAATAAAATCAAATGTACATACCCAGGTTTCGACGACTGACTACATAATGTAATGGAGTATTACCATTTTTTAAGTCAATGTCATTGGGATCAGCTTTATGCTGAAGCAAAAGTTGTATTACTTTATCTAGCTGACTGTTTCTGAAATTATTTTTAAATGTAAAAAAAATTGACAATAAAATTTAAATTTATAAAGACTTTTGTAGTTACCTGGAAGCAAGAATTATTGGAGAAGAATTGTCATCTTTTTCTGACCTAATATTTACATTACATCCAGCTTTAATCTAGATAAAAATAATTTTCATCAACACATTTTCCTAACTTAAAATGAAATGCACAGAGATACTTACGAGTTTTTCTGCAGTGGCCACATTTTGATTTTTGATAGCGACAATCAAAGGTGTCAGTTTGTCAGAATCAAATGCGTCTAAAGGAGGATTGTGCAGTAACAAGATGTCAAAAACTTTCGGATAATTACATTTTGCTGCCAAATGCAAAACTGTAGCTACATCTGAAAAATAAAATATTGACAAACTTTTATTAATATTAAAAAAAAAATACTTTCAAGCATTTAAAAACACTAATTAAAATTTAAATTTCATTTTAAAAATAAATATCAAAAGCAATAAAGAATTTTTATTCATTGCACTATTTATTTATTTTATATTTGTTTTCTTGTTAGATTTAATTTTATTTTCTGTATTTCATTTAATACATTTGTAAGCTACACTCCAGCCCATGTGAATTGCTACATAAATTTGTGTATATTAATTAAAAGCTTCTAATTTTCAAATTTGCATTCCATTGAATTTACTACGTTGCATTCTAAAAACCTACAGACGTTATTACACTTGGTCAAAGATGTCCATTCCATTAATAAACATTCTTTTTTTATTGAATTTTACAGTTTTATTGAGTTAAGAGTAAAACTGCAGTTATGCCTTAACTTCGGTCTGGCAAAGCACTAGACACCATGTAGGATACTTTCCAACAACACAACAAAATAATAATAATAATAATAATAAAACTAACAACACACAAACAATTTTAATGTAATGGCAGCTAAAACCCACTGCAGTGGCTTACTGCACTCTGAAGAATTATTCATCACAGCTGGTAAATTGACTTCCCACAAATCACGTGTTAATATAAATTAACAGAATAACTTATCTGACAATTACATAAATTTTGTCTTTACAAAATTGTTTAAAATTAGTTTAAAATAATTCAAAATTTCATAGTTACCTTCTCCTTTTGAATTCTTGATGGGAGTACTTATACTACACTTCAATTCTTTCACAAAGAACTAATTTTGAAACCAATCACAACAAAGAAAAATACAATTATTTATGCAATAAATATAATTGGTTATATTTTATTTTTAAATATATTTGAATATATATTGGATATTTCTGTAAATAAAAATTGGCTTATTTTGTAAATTTATTTATAAATAAAAATTACAAGACAACTAACTCAATAACCTAAAAGAGATAAAGAATGTAGACAAAGAACTTGCTTTATATGTTCTTTTTGCTGATTTTGGGTTATCAAGTTAATAAATAGTCTTATGAGGTTAACCAGTATCTAGTAGATGTCTGTTGTATATAAAAATTACATTATTCATTATTAGAAGGAAGATAATATTCATCAATTTCTTCATTATTATCATATACAAATACAAGTATAATCACAATGAAGGGAATAAAGCATGACCAAACTTTTTTCAGTCCTCCCCTACAAAAGATTACAATCTAATAGCTCATTATTATTCTACTAGAAGGCATGCAAAAAAATGCCTCTACTGTATTGCAAATGGCCATGCCACAGTTATTGTTGTCTAAAGAGAAATCGTTTTAATCTTGAATGGCCATAAACAAATATATTTCTGGTCATTCAAAATTAAAACAATTTGTTATATATATATATATGTTACAGTCAAAACCCGTTTTTAGTTAGAACGCGTTTTAACTAGTTGAAACTAGTTTATACTGAATGTCCATGTTAAAACCCGTTTTGTCTAGTTGAAACTAGTTTATACTAAATGTCATTGTTAAAACCCGTTTTGTCTAGTTGAAACTAGTTTATACTGAATGTCTTTGTTAAAACCCGTTTTGTCTAGTTGAAACTAGTTTATACTGAATGTCTTTGTTAAAACCCGTTTTGTCTAGTTAAAACTAGAATTTACTGCTAGTCAAAAATGAATTTGAGTTAAAACTAGTTTTAACTAGACAAAACGGGTTTTAACAAAGACATCCAGTATAAACTAGTTTTAACTAGTTAAAACGCATCCTAACTAAAAACTGGTTTGACTGCAACGCATAGAGTGATTCGGGGTAAGATGGTAAGCGGGGGAAGATGCCTAATTTTTGATATTTTCAAACGGTGACGTCACATATTGTCATGTATTTGTATGATGAATCGTTGGGCCAATATTGAGTGCGGAAAGCTGTAGTTGGCTACCGTTACTTCATTTTCTACATCCGAGAAGAATAAAAGCTAGATAAGAACGAAGTTTTTGTTGTGAAATGTTTCTAGAATAATTTTAAACTAAAAGTTAAAATGGAATTTATTAAAAATTGCTAAAAACAATTAATGTGTGATGTAGTTAAGGTTCTAAAGTTTCCATTGTCAGCTACCGCCGATCCCGATCGGACATGCTGGAGCATGTGACTCTACTAGGCATCTTACCCCAACAAATGGAAAATATGCCACATTTTTCTTGGGGTAACGTGCCTATTTTTTGTTAATTGATTTCCAATATGCCTATTTTTAATAAACTTTTGTTTTCTCGTTTTATTGCAGGATATGCATAGAAATTATATAAGGACTTCTCAAAAAAGTTTTTGGACTGAAAAAAGCTTTCAGCTAGCTATAGAACACGTTAGAACGGGCGGAAACTTAACAATACTTATACTGTGCTGTTATACTTACTATGAAGTACTTTGTACTACATATGCAATAAATTAAATTTGGTTAAGAAATTCAAAAATTAATTTTAAGCAATTATATTTGTTATCTTACCCTAATGGCATTTGGCATCTCACCCGGATACTTGGGGTGAGATGCCTAAAATGCCAGACAGTGAAAAAGTCGTCATTGCAAACACAGTATACAATTTTTTAAAATAAACTCCAAAGTTTTATTTGAAAAACATACTCCAGAATATGATATTTTCATTAGAGGGCTCCTAAACCCAAATTAGCGCTGTAATTTCCTTCATAAGCAAAATGTTAGGCATCTTCCGCCGAATCACTATACATAACTTTATTTCCCCCAAACATATTTATGTAGCTAAAATTAGTTTTAACTAATGTTAAAAGTTAAAACTAGTTTTATCTAAAATCAAAACATGTACAGCAGTAAATTAACTAGACAAAACCCGTTTTGTCTAGTTAAAACTACAATTTACTGCTAGTCAAAAATGAATTTGAGTTAGAACTAGTTTTAGCTAGACAAAACGGGTTTTAACAAAGACATTTAGTATAAACTAGTTTCAACTAGACAAAATGGGTTTTAACAAAGACATTCAGTATAAACTAGTTTCAACTAGTTAAAACGCATTCTAACTAAAAACGGGTTTTGACTGTAACATATATACATACACATACACACACTAAACATTTTTCTGATATATATGTATATGTGTATGTATATATAAAAATACACACAAATGCAGGCAAATTACAACAAACTTTTAAATCCAAATATGTTGTAATTACTTCAGATGCCTGATTAAATCTTCAAAGCAGGATAAAAGGAATAACGATTCTTTCCATTGGTTGCAGTGTTAGACTTGTATGATTGGCAGATTGTACATCATGTATTGTTGATGAAACTCTAATTCTGAATGGCTACGTATAACACCTTTTCTTTATATACTGTATATACAGTCGAACTCCATTTATAAATTTATCAAAACTGAAAAAAGTATACAAGTAAAACTACTTATGAATTGCTCTTTTGGAGTGTCTACGGTTGTCACAAAAATATAGTGCAGCACAAATTAATGCCTTACATCCAAATTTGTACATTAATTCTTAACCAAAAAAGTTTTAATTTACTATATATACAATCAATTTTAACAACACCTAAAAGGAAAAGTAAACTCAGTCTAAAATTAGGTCACATACTTCTAAAAGCTTCAAGTTTTGTTTTTTTTTTCAATGGACTTTACACACAAAGGTACAGTATGTGATGTCAGTTGTCTCCTGCCAAAACTCCAATCTTGTGAAAGAACGAAGAGCCATTGTAAAAGTAAGCTTACACTGGAAGCAAATATCAAATACAAATTAGAAACCAGAGAGTGAATTTTATTCACAAGATTCATTCACACTACAAAATGTGGAAAGCAAAAATTTTCAATGTGTTAAAATGACAAAGCAATTTACTAAAAGAAAATTCATCAGAAACTGCACCAAATTACATATTATTTGCTTTACTTTTTGAATTTGCCATCAGTGTGAACTAACTTTAAGTCAATACATTATTTCATTTTTCACTTTTTTAATAATCGCTTTAAAATTTTCCATTTAAAAGTATATAATATGCTGTAGAGTACCAAAAAATATGATACGTAAGTGAGAAATTATACAAATGAAAAACATATATAACTGAAGTGTTTTATAACAAAGAAAGTACCATGTAGAAAACTATTAATGTATAATTGTGAGAAACATACAACCAAGAAATATATAAACTGAGTTCAACTGTATATTTATATTTCAAAATATGCATATGATGACAAATGAAAATATTCTTCAGACATACTTCACCTCTTTAAGGACAGCACATCTCAGGCAGTGTTATTTTAGCCTTAAAGAAATCCCCCCAAAAAAACTGAATTACTTATCATTACCATAACAATAAATCTTTAAACTGTATACATTAAATCTATACATTCTCTAGCCTTTGTATTGGGGAAATTATCATATCCAAAATTCTGGCATTAAAAGTGAGCCTAACATCCAAGAATAAGCCAATAGGCTTACTTTTCGAAAGAGTAATTGTAGAATTATCCAGTATTAAACTTTATAAAATATAATAATAGCAATAAAAAATTATTATTAATTGATGATATCTTTAAGTCTAGCAAAATTTTAATGTTTGCAGACATTTTTGGCTTTAAACTAAACTGCATTCAGATATGCTAGAATGCTATCATGCATTCATGCTAGTTTATAACAAAATACATTTAAATCTTAACATATATACATTGCATTAGTGGGCAACCTTAAAATTCAGTTAATTTTAGAAGCATCAGTATCTGACAATGTAATTTTTATCAAATTTAATCGTGTCATTCAAAATTTTTTATATAATTGTTTTTGTTGTTTCATTTTTATGAAAATTTAAAAAAAAAAAAAAAAAGACACTTTTCAAAAATAAAACCAATNAAAGACTTACCTGAATTAATGCTATGAGTCTTTCACTACCCTTATAATCCTATAACATAAATATAAATTTTAAATAAATATGCTAAATTGTATATATACATAGTTTTGGTTATATATAATGCATAAAGAATTTCACAGCTATACTTTAAAATTACCATTATTATTATACATCTAGACCAGGGCTTCTTAAACTTTTTTTTATTCATGACCCCATTTATGATTGTAATTTTTTTTGCTACCCCAAAAAATATAAAATAAAGATATATACAAATTTGCAAAAACAATAATGGTATACTCCCATAGTTCACTCTTGTGTTACAATGGAACAGAGACAACTGAATACACTGAAAAGCGACAACACTACACTAGTTCACACTAGTGTTGCTGAATCGTTGTCTCTCTGCATCAGAAGTGACACAAAGCGCAACTCATGAAACCTATGACACAAAGCGTGCCATTTTAAAACTCTCACAAATTATTTTCAATATTTTGCATTAAAATCTCGCGACCCCAAGATTTTGTTAAGCAACTCCAAATGGGGTCGCGTAGTTTAAGAAGCCCTGATCTAGACAATAAAATATACTTAAATCATTACCTTCGTATTTTGTTTCTGAGTGTTAATTTCATTATAATGTGTAATTAGAACATTTTAATATTCGTCTTATAAAATTTCTACTTTCAAAACCATTTTAAAGAAACAATAACTTTTAAAGTAAGCATACAGAAGACTTTTTTATAGAATAGTTTACTTAAATGTTTAAAATTTTTTCTAAGTTCTATTTCTTACAGATTCTAAATTATAATATCCATGGCACCAAACTACAGCTTTTCTACACCCTTATTGCAGCTCTCATATATCAGACTCCTACTCCTTATTACTGATGTGTAGGTAGGGGTCTGACTTTGATGCTATTGCAAAGAAGAGCTTTAAATCTGGTAATGTGCAAGTTTCTAACTTTTAAAAATATCATCATCCATATGATGCCATAAACTTTGCAATGCCCCAACAGCATGTGAAATTAATAATGTGAATAACAACTTATTCCATTTTGCCATTGCAATTACCACTTCTTGTCCCTTTGCAGACTTATGTTAAAAGTACTCTGAATAAGGATATATAGGAAAGATGTCACCCAAGGTAGTCACCTACCACCCGCAACTAAGAAAATGTCATTTTAAATAACTGTAACACACTTTAAAAGTTAAACGAATCTCAATCCAACAGTTTGTTACAGTAAAAATAATTTCAGCTTTCAAAGTTTGTAAATCATATTTATCTTACAACTAACTAATAATTGAATTAATTAAATATGATAAGTTTTAGCCTTGCTTTAACTATAAAAAATAAATAATTAAAAATTTCATATTACTTACAATTGATTGTAAATAGCTGACGGCTAGTAGTAAAGGTGTGTATCCGTCCTGATTGTACATTTTGACCATTTGAGATAATGTTTTTTGTACACTGGTCTCTACATTATTTGCCTAAAAATGAAAGAATTGCTTATTAACAAGAATATAACATAATTTATGAATAAAATTTAGTAAAATAAATGCATCTTACATTTTTCATTATTAAATCCAATATCGGCTTGACTTCTCTTTGGCATGCATGTTCTACGAGTGAATGAAGAAAATTGTTTTTTAAAGAAGGCCTGACATCGATCATTAATTCACAACCGGCATTCACAAAAATTTCTATCAACAAAAGGCAACCCTAGAAATATAAATATTTATTTTAAGAATTATGTTGAAAGATAGTTCAATTATTTTTACTATTTGCAATTGAATTAAAATTAAATACTGTACACAGTGTTTACTTTAAAATGCCACAATTTTTATTCTTAACTCATACTTTGTAACTTTAATTTTTATTCTAGAGTAGTTGAATTCATCCACAAAATTAAATGTATTGAGCTTAAATCAGACCCCATACACAGGTTCTGAACCAAACTTGAGCAAGGTTTTGCTCTTCTTATGAGGACAATACTTCAAGATGCTATACTTCAAGATGTGATTCAGAGATGCATACTTTTAGCTTCTAGGGTTGGCTATGCAAAGCCAATTGGCCTACTGATGGTATACAAACATTGTCATCCTACTTTTGCTTCAAAAAAGAAACTAGTTAGTCTTTTGCAGCATTGTTGAGTAATTCTGCTTATATGGAAAGTTTGAAAGTTCAAACCTTAGACTAGACTGCCCGCATGTGTTCAGACAAGTAAATCAAAACATAAGATTTTATAAGATACATTTATACAGTACAGCAATGGTGCGCAAACTGGGGGTCGCCAGAAGTTTTTTGGGGTCGCCAAATATTTATGAAATGCATTATGCCTGCATGCTGCATACCATACAGTGTACATATAAAGAGTGAAGCGCCGTCACTCACTGTTTAATTGCAATTTCATGCAGAAGATTCAAGGATTTTCCTGAAAGCAATCTTGGTTGGATTCGTGATCTATATGCAGTTCAACTCTTCAAATTAGTGAGAAAGAGCAATTGATAGATTTAATTAGTGATTATACTCTTCAAAATCAATTTAAGACTCAGCCTTGCCAAAAATTTTGGCTATCCGTNATTGGACATTAACGTCTGCTTGAAACATATTGGCCATGAATTGTTACTGACTGACATCAGAGTAGCTAATAAGAGGGAACAAAAATATAAAAATAATCCATCTACCAGCGATGCAGATAAACTATGTAAATTAACAGTTAGAATAACTGTTACAACCATTAATTCTTTACGCCTCTATGTCCTTAATATTTTGATTTTGTTTTTATATTGTTCACATAGACCTTGTTTATAAATAGAACTTATTATATTGGTGTAGTTTCAAATTAGCAACAAGAGGAAGTAATCTTTATTTTTACCAGTGAAAATAATAATACTTTTGTTTAACTTTTTTACTTAGACTTCCTCCCTTTGCTAATTCCAAACACACACACACACACACACATATATACAGTAGAGCGTCGTTTATCTGAAAGCCAGTTATCCAAAAGAATTCCAGTTGGCAAATTTAAATTTTCACTAGTGCTGTGGCACTGCAATCTTTGGCTATATCTTGGGCTACTCCAATATTTTTTTTGTTGGTGTGTGTGTTTTAGCTGGCAGCACTGGCACTTTTGTCTGGTGTTTTTCTGAGGACTGTGTGTTGTGCTGAATCGAACGTTTTTGATACTAGATCAACTTCTAAAGTATAATTTTTTTGTTTTTATATTTTTCAATATATTTATTTTGTTTGTAAAAAAATAAAGAAATAATTTTTAACGATACAATAGCCACAATTATTATTTTAAAAAGTTTATGTTAGGCTTAACATCGACGAAAATTCACACGAAGAAAAATTTCAACATGAGATAAGTTAATATATTTTTTTGTACATAATTGGTTATCCGAAAAATAAGTTATCCAAACAACCTCAGTCCCCAATTGATTCAGATAAACGACGCTCTACTGTATATAGTTCCATGTCCTTCTATTAATGCACTCAAGGCAATATAATTTGGAGAAAATTTGTTAGCTGGAAAAGTAGCTATCAGTAATAAACAAGCTATTGTTGACATGCTATATTTAATGTCATACAAATTATTTTATATAAAGACAAATTTTACTGACAACAGTCAGGTGAACTAATGAGCTAACCATAGTCTTTTTGGCAGAAATTGTTAAGAGGCACTTAAAAAAATGAATAATTCACAGGCTTTTCACAATCCTGCACCTAGCTTATTGATATAAATACATTGACGATATTCTAATACAGAATGATTTCAATTCTTTCATCAATCATATCAACAGTATGTTTCTGTCCATTCAGTTCTCTCTAGTGATAGAGAATGTGACAGCAGTTACCTCCAATATTCCCAGTTATACTCTTATCAGTTCAGTGGTTTTGTTAATGCTGTTTCTACATTGAAAATATGTAGAGCTTATAGATATTATTCTTCTGTAAGTACATCAAATTTGGTATTATAACTCAAAACTCTACACACAACAGTGGATTTTTGGCTGAACAAGTTTTCCAGTGTACAATGCAGAATTAAGCAAAAATTGTTTTCGCCCATCACCTTAGCACCAGAAAGAAGAAAGGCATGCTTTTTGCTTACTCTCAGAACATTTACGGCTAACATTATGTATAATTTATTAAAGCTGTGTGAAAATCTCTATCTTTGAATACTGCTATCATTCTTGCCCATTCTACACAAATATTTTGCAATGAGAGAGAGAGAGAGAAAGAGACAGAAATCAGCATATACAGGATAACATTAGAAAAATAAGAAATCATTTCAAATTTATTTGCATGCAACTGAAAGAAATTTGAATAAGTGTACTACAGGAATACCAAAAAAAAAAACACGAAATACCAAAGAAAAACAATGACTTTAACCATATTAGTTTTGGCCCAAAATTACCAGCTAAAATGGAACAAAACAAAAGTTTTGTCTACACCACAAAATCAATGTATTTTATTTTTGGCAGAGGCCTTATATATATTAAAATATGTGGAACGGAGTTATTGCTTCTGGAGAAATGATCTTTCTAACATTTGAACCATCCAAACCCAACACTTTGAACTTGATTGGTTTTATAGTAAATTGAAAAAGCTCAAAGCATTTATTGACTGAATGGAAGTGTTTTTATTTTAATTTATATTTCAGACAAATGATCAATATTGTAAATTATGTAAACTTTTTTTTTTTGCATTAAGTACAGGTTTTATGTATGTGATAATTGCCTACATCTAAAGTATATATTTATATTTCTTTTCTAATATTTACAAAAACATAAGAGAGACAAATTATTATTAAATCACATTTATAGATAAAAATAACAGACAATGTTTTTAATAAAAATCATCAAATTGAGCAGTGGGCTTATGGACATGAAACATAGTTTCTGTGATTAATCTAAATGGTAAAAACCAGTCGGTTGAATGTTGAAGTGAGACAAGTTACATTATAATGGTCGTAATGTAAACAAGTTTGTAAAAACCTGGCATTTTATATTGCAACAACTCAACCAATCATGCACAAACTATTCATTAGTGAATATGGCCACAAGCACAATGACCCAATGAACATAATATATGGGGTAATAGCCCCCATAATTATGTACGGTACATAAGACTTAACTTATAATAGCTCCTAAACTAATCACTTGTTTGAAGAAAAATGAAAAATGGGTCTTCATTTTTTATTCTCTTTCCAACGATTTCTAAATTGTCTTTCTGTGATCATTTTCTATGAAGTTATGAAGCATAGCTATTGTTTGCATCAAAAATATCTACAGACTAAATTTCAGTTATGTATGAAATGAGAATGTGCGCCTATTATTTTGAGTAAAAAAAAAAGACACTTTTCAAAAATAAAACCAATTATAAGACATGAGTGAATATTAAGAACAGAGAACAGTTTAAATGATATATTAGACTTAAAATGATAATACAAATCAAGTACAGTAAGACCCCGCTTAATGCTGCCTTGATTAACGCTGATTCAATATAACACGGTCTGCTCAAAGCCTTAAAAAAAAAAAAATTTACGATGATTTAAATTATTGTGGCATTTCATTGATTCGTATATAATACGATTATCCCCAAACAAAAACCAATCAGCAAAAAATGGCAATTCTTTGTAGTGCTGTACTTTCCTTAAATCTATGTTTGTTTTGTGCAATGTAGGAAAAAATATAACATCATGGATGCCATAAGCAATATCGACTTCGCTTGGCAAGAATTAACTGATAAATGCATGAACAAAAGTGGAAAAAGTTATGGCTGAAGGTATCCAAGAATTCTCAACAAGAAGAGCCTACACTGTATTGTTAGGTTGACCTTTGGTCAACCTAACAATACAGCAGGACAGAGATGCAGACGAGCATAATATTGAGGAGTTACTGCAGGTTTCTGGTGAGAGCCTTATCAATGATGACCTTCAGAAAATGGCAGAACAAGAAATTCATGTAGAACTGGAATATAGAGATTCTGAAAATGAAGAACCCAAAGAATTTCTCTACAGATTTCCTTAGTAAAAGTTTTGATAACTGAAATTGTTGACCAAACTGTAGCAAATGATCCAGATTTTGAAAGGAGTGCAAAAGCAAGACAGGGTGTTTTGGATATGATCTCTTGCTACCGATATTTGCTTAAGGAAAGAAAAAGAAAAGCAACAAATGAAACTACATGACTTAATTGCAAAAAACAAGAATTTCAGAAGAGCCAGGACCTTCATCACAAAAAATGAACATTACATTTCTGTGTGCATATGTTTCTGTGTTATTTAATATGTATTATTATGCAAATTAATGTAAACATAACATAAAATTAAAGTAAAATCTGTTTATTTTTGGTTGCATGTTCCCCTTTCCCTATTTACTCTGTGCTAAAGTAACCTTGTTTAATGCTGTTTTGTTTAGTGCTTTCTCGTCTAGGAATGTATCGTATCCCCCACATTCAGCAGGGTCTTAATGTACTTAAAACTGTAAACGTATCATTATGTACCTTTTGAGCAGCTAAAGAAAACGGCGATTCACCTTCCTTATTTATTGCTTTTGGATCACATCCTTGATTAATAAGTAAATTAGCAATTGCTTTAACAATTTTATCATGTTCAATTTTTTCCTGCAAAAATAAAAGACAAATTAAAATTTATAAATATTTAAAACTTATCACATTTCCCATCTTATAAAACATACTAATAAGCTTGCAAAGATCGTTTGAGCATTTGAGGAACCAAAATGTAACATTCCAATACAAAATACAAAAAAATAATTGTCATCAAGTTACACATTTTCGGAATCTTGATGACATTCTCGTTTTCTGTTTTATGTGGTAATCTACAACTTATATACTTTATTCCAGTCAGATTAAGGGCATTTGGATTTTTGTAGTACATTAGTAACTCTCTAAGCCCACTCTGACTTAATCGTCACTATCAGATTTTAAAGACGCAAGTCTTATAAGATGGAAAAATAGCAGTACATGAATTATTAAACTATATTTCTACATATAATTTTACTTTAGTTAATAATTAAAGTAGAAATCATGCAGTATTTTTTATGCAACACAATTCGTTTGCAACTAATCATATTAGGTAAACATCATTATAAAAAATTATCCAATTACAGAAATAATTTTCAAATCAAATATTTCGATTTTGGAGTAAATGTAATTTTCATCTGAAATCAAGAAAAATCTTTCAAGATAGAATAATAAGTTATTCTAAGTTTGTAAAAGTTATCAAACGATCACAAATGGCTTAGAGTAAGAATGAAAAATATTAATTTGTAGTAGTATGAGCCATTTAGAAATTATATCAAAAAACTAAACTTGCAGATTCAATATTAAAAATCAGCTTATGACCAATTCTGATATTGAATCTAAGGTCTAAATGATGAAGTCCGTAAAGGCCTTAACCACCTTTCTAGTAGAGAAAGAAAAATGTCGCTTTCTAGCTTCCAATTTAGTGCTTTTACATCTTGCTGTTGCAATTTCAGCCTTTTCTCCACAATGTTGTTCTTAAAACTTTTAGTAAGCATTTATTAACAATTAGCTATAATATCACATTTTTAAAATAAATCTATTATAGAGAGATTATTTTGACTAGATTAAACACAAAATGTAATCTCAAACCTTATATATTAGATTCGATGCAATTTTTACAAATCTTGACAAATCCACAGCCAATAGGTGTTGAGCATTTAATTCCAACTTATTTCCTATTTTAAATCACATAGTTTAAATCCAAAGAGTGCCACTTTGTTTCCTTCAAATTACTAGTAGATATTAAAAGCTTTTTATCATCCATCTTATTTAGTTTATAAGCATCTTGTGATTTCTGTTTCCTTATCTCTCTAGAACCAATTTGACATATAGAAAGACTTTAGTTTGCTGCATATAGTTAAGTTATATGACTTTTCGTCCATTGCACAAAGACAAATATATAATAATGCAATCCGACTGTTGACGCTAGATGTCAGAAGAAAGAATATTTACTTTACTAAATGAATAATAACCAATATTTATGAAAATTTAGTGAATTACAAAGACCAATAAATTTCTTGGTTTGTCTGCTTTTCTGTCAATTTCTTACTAAAAAAATTGTTCTGCATTGACTGTGAAAATGCAACATTAGAGTTTTTTAAACTTTTTGTTGTTTTAAAGAAATGAATAAAATCAGTGTTCCACAACAGCTGATGTCCAAATGTAAGGTTTATTTGAATGTTAAAACTATTATGGTGCTAACTAAAGATTTTTCACATTAATACATTTGTTTTATAATAATGTAAAATGTTCTCCCAGTAAATATAGAATACATTATCCGAAACAGACAAATTTCTACGTATTTGATGAAATATAAGGATATATAATTCAATGTCTGAAAGACTTCTGAATATCTAACAATTTTACCTGGATTAATTAAATTAAATTTTATCATCAATGTCCTCAAATAATTCATATACAGTATATACTTTTAAACTATGTTCATAGCAGTATTAAAACATATATATATTTTTTTCAATGATTAGCAACACACAAAAAAAGATTAACACTAAATTTTTTTTTCAAAAATAATAGATAATTATTTTGAATTTTTTACAAACAAATATAATTTTATTGCCAAAAATCTAAAGGTCAAGCAAGAACACTGGTAATTAACATAGTTGCTACCATAATACCAGTATAACACAGTAATAAGTACAACTAGACACCAATAAACAGCCATAAAAATGGAGGAAAAAGTTTAATTTCTTCAAAATACATCCATTTTTTTTATTTTTTTTTTGCTGGTTATTGATGTCTAGGATACTTATTACTGTGTTATATTGGTATTGTGGTAGCAACTACAGGTATACCCCGGGTTACGTTGTTTTGAGTTAAGTCATTCTCAATTATACGTCATTTGTTAAAAAAAAAAAAAATTAATGGATAAATAAAAATCAAGTTTAAGTCATTTTATTCAACTTTATGCCTGTCTGCCATGAATACTGAAGTTGTAATATCACTAGAAATGTGTTAAAAGCACATAAAAGTAAATGTTAATATAATCATCATAAATAATAGAGATGGAATATGAAAACATCTGTGACATCTGTGAATAATTTTAATAACTATGTTTGTTATTTAACCTTACAAAATCATCTTATTTTATAATATCTTAGAGCAAACCACATTCACAAATAAAAAAGAGTCCATGATGTACTGTAAACATTGCCAAATTGTAAACATGTATATTTACAAGTATGTACGTACATGTATTTGTAAATTTAATTACTTTTTTCTGTACTATATTAAAAACTAAAATTTATTTGTTTGTAAGCTTAGAATAGATTCTTATTAACCATATATTATTAAAACTGCATTTATAAATAAAATACAAAACTGGGAATGATTATTTGTGGTTTAGCCTAGTAACAAGTAAATTCAAAACGACTTAAGTCATCTCTCCTGGAACAAATTACTGACGTAAGGCGAGGTATACCTGTACCAGTATTGTATACTGCTAATACTGCATATTCTGCTAATTATAACAACCAATTGGATAAATTTCCAGAAGAGATTATGTAAAACCCAAAATATTCCAATCTTCAACTTCAATTAGAATTAAAAAAAAAAAAATTTAAAGTAACACAATTAAAATTTGAAACAAAAAAATTATTTGTTGTATTAGAAAATAATATTTAAATTTAAATGGTGACATTTTGCAGTTCAGATTTTAAGCTATTCGTTCAATGTACAAAATGGTTGCATTAAAAATTACAAAGAAGGCTATGTATAAGCCAAAATGTGTTTTTCTATCTATAAATAGAGTTCTTTGATTTGTCTTTGTGATCTGCTTGAATTGTTACATAATAGTGCCATGACTCATTTATTTTGAATNACATACATATACAGTCGACCCCTCTATAACGTGGTTTCCTATAACAGAAATTCCTATAAGGTAGCGAAAAAATTGTAGCAGTATTCGTATAAAGTGACTCGTAAAACGTCGTCGCCGACTCCTGTCGCGACAAGATTGGTCGAATCTGGACCAATAGTGAACGAGCAGCAGAACTACTTTCCGCCGACCAGCGCCACGCTACAGAGAGTTTAGGCGGCTAAATTGAGTTTATATATAATGCTGTACAGGCGATAATAAATTATATATAAATCAGGTTATTAAGTATTAGGTTGAGTCATAAGTAATGCTGTTTGAATAGACTTTATTAACATTAAAAGAGATATTTATTTGTTCTAAAAGCTTCTTGTCCTATTCAATTGTTGTGCTTTTTAAATCTCACAACTTCACAAATGATATCAACTAAATGATACGAACAAAACTATCCTGTATGATAAGTCCTGCATTTGTCAAGTTGCGAGATTTTAGAAGTACAAAAAAATATATTTGTCCATTATATATGACAGTTATCACCATCAGTGACAAGACTTCTACAAGATACAAGATTTTTTAACACTTTTCTTATAAAATTCATTAAATTTTCATTCAAAAACACTTGTGTATGCTACTGGATGGCTTCTTTTAATGGAAACGCTTTTAATTTAAGTCCAATTTAACAGGATTGAAAGAGCTGGTATTCTGTAGGTACTACAATGGATATAAGGGGTACTGGAGAAAACAAGAAAAACTTTCCAATTAGCTTTCATTAACTCTGTCGGCTCAAGTGCTGATGTGTAACAAAATAACACCCTCCACAATTGTCAAATTTTGATGATTTTAGTTAGAGTTTTCAAAGTTTTTCCAATAAAGGCATCATTAATTAGATATTTAATGCTTCATTTGGGTTCAATGATGCAAAATGCAGTATTCCCCTCAAAATGCACAAGGTGCACCTTTTGAGAATAATTATCACATTTTGTTCTTGAGCTGGAGCAGGAACCTTACAATATAACTGCTGTCTTTTACAAATGACATTAAGCATACAAAACCTATTTCTCATCTCTGGCTACTATTCTGTACAGAAATAGGATTTGTTCTTGCCTTTAATTTAATTTAAGAAGTGAAATGCACATGGATAATTCAACTTGATGTGTCTGTTTGGTAAAATTATTTGGAATCTGCATCTCACAAGTTGTTTGTATTTCATAATTAATGTAATTACCAAACTGTCATTGATCAAGAAACTCAGACTTTATCTGTGATTTGCATACTTAGAAAATGCCATGGCTGACCCAAAACTAAGTCAAATAATTGTCCAGAAACAGGCTCATCTTCAAGGCTTTAGTTCCCATTTAAGCCTTTACTGCTACATGTACAGTACCACATATAAAGTTTATTGCCACAACTGCAGTGTTATCTTTTCCAATCTATATAACATTACAACCCTTAAATATTCTTTTGAGAAGCTCATTTTAAATAACTAATAACTTCAACTATTAAAACAGTTACATAATGTATTAGCCCTCAAGTTGACCAGTATATTATAAATATTAAGATGCCTATCTTTTGACATTAAAATGCTTCAATAGAGATAAATATTAGCAGTCTTTCAATTTTTATTGCCAAAAAGACAATCGATTTCATATTACATAAGTAATTTGGCATCAAGTGCTTGTTCAATTTTCAGTAACAACATCACTTACAACTCGACCTGATATTAGCAAGAAACAAGAGTATTAATAGC